CAGCCACAGGGGACCGTTTAGGAGTCGTTTGAATCATCTTTGAGTCGAATGAACGCAACCGACTACAGTGAGATTACATCATTTCCGTCTTTCTGTAGAGCCTCGTAAGAACCTCTCCATGCGTCACTGACTGGCTACTGCTTGTGGCAAACAACATATCACCGAGAAATGTTTTGTCACAAGTTGTTGCCGTCTTTTGCGCCAAATTTTTATCAAGTGGAGCAGAGTAAGCCCAATGTGCAAATGGTTTATGTTCATTTCAATGACAAATGAAACAAAATACAAACTTCTACGAAAATTTGCAATTGGCATAATTCAGATAGATGATTTCTGCAAGTTCATTTAGTTCATTTAGTCATAAAGCTTGAATGTTTTACTCCATAGGTTGCAATTGTAATAATCATTGCAATGCTTTTATCAAACATCAGCATAGTAAAATGCTTCGTTGTCTTAGAAACCGTCTCAGGCACCACTCGGGGAAACTGCTGGCTTTCTGCGCGTAAACCTATAATTAGACTGAGCTCATCCTGCACACAGCAACCAATCCAATTGGGGGCCGGATGTCTGGGACCTATATTTAGCGCCCTCGGGGACATCCGTGAGACGCACGCGGGAGCGAAATCATGTTTGGACCCGGATCAACATCCAGGGAACCTTTACAGCATCAAAGTAGTCAGAAAAGCAAGTCTAGCATGAGACAAGCCACACGTAGTTAGTAAGAGTGAGAATATTGCTCACACCGATCGAACAGTCACCCAGAAGGACTGTGCCCCTCCTATTAGAGGTACCCTCGCCGAATGTCTGGTGAGCCACCGCCAGTCAACGAATAAGGATCGAGGAATCAATGATAAGGATGAGAAAGCCCTGAATAAAGAAACAGACAGATGAGCTAAGCTAAGTGTTCGTAAGATAAGGCACGCAGTCCCCGAACCTTGGGACCATGTCATACCATTGGCATGGCCGTGTCGAAAAGACATTTTGAATGGAAATAGTCATCAGATATGCAGTCAGGTAATGTCTAAGCTCTCTAGTCTTATCGACGAGCAACCACATTTGGAAACACTTTCAATAACCAAAATGTCTTCAAACCGAAACATTGATCTAAAAATATCAATTTCACGGCCAAGCAGGACGTTCTCACTTTGGCTGCTGAATTCAAATGTCAGCTTGGGTCGTAACCGGGTGTAACTGTATTGCGGTACAGCATAGCTACAGGTGCCCGACACTGGAAGAGAATAGAGGACAATTTAGCCGAGGTTCGTCAGGCGGCGATGCTCTGAGGAATTACCTAGTCTCTATATTTCCTTCACCTGGGAAAGGATTGATCACCGGATTCTGGCATCCTCACAGCACGGTTTCCGCCCCCGGCACTCTACTGAAACCGCGTTGTTGTCCGTCACTGAACGCATCCTGGCTGCCATCGACAGGGGAGAGATCTCAATGCTATGCCTTCTCGATCTTAGTAAATGTTTTGACGTGATAGACCACGAGCTTCTGATGCAAAAACTTATGCTGCACGGTATCGAAATTTCCTGGTTCGCCGCCTATCTAGTATCTTCATGGACACACCCAGGGCGTGTCGCTGAACAATGGGTCCGGAAGTAGAGTGCTGTCTCGGCCTCTTCCTAATACCATGGGTGTCTTCCAGGGCTCTGCGTTAGGGCCGTTACTTTTCACCATCTTCTCTAACAACTTATCGCTGTACGAGGGTGACGCAGTAGTCTTTCAATATGCCGACGACACCCAAGTATTGGTTAGCGGTCCTGCCAGGGACCTTGGAGTTCTCATCTCGCGCGCATGGAGGTTTCGCTCGCGTCACTCAACGAATGGTTCTGCGCTAACGCCCTGAAGGTCAACGCCAGTAAAACACAGCTCGTCTTCGGCAGTCGTCAGAATTTACGCAAATTGCCAGATTTCAGGGTATCGTTCCGTGACGCAGCGTTGCAGCCGTGCGCGCAGGTGGGGAACCTGGGCGTCACTTTTGACATCACTCTCTCCTGGGACGCTCAGGTCTTCTAACTCAACCGCCGGTGTACGGGACTGTTGATTGGTCTCTCCCATGCGCGCCACAGTCTCCCGGATGGCATCATTAGAACGCTCGTGACTGCACTCGTTATCTCACGCATCCAGTACTGCCTCTCAGTTTATGGCAATGGGTCAAAAAAAAAAAATCAATCGTCTCCAAAAAATTTTGAACTTCGCTGCTGGAGTCATTTTCGGTCGCCGTATATTTGCCCATGTCTCTGACCTGAGAAAAAAGCTCGGGTGGTTGTCCCCGCGTCATATGGCTGATTACCAAACCCTCGTTATCGCCCACAAAGCCATACAGCGCGGCGAACCCGAGGAATTGGCAACCATGTTCGTCACAAACAGCGCTGTCCGGGAGAGACACTCCAGGCAAGACCACCTCTTTCACCTTCCGCGACCACGGCTGGAAACGGGTAGGCGGCGGTTTGGCTATCGAGCCGCAGCTCTGCTCAACAGTCTCCCAACTCAGCTGTCGCAGCTGCCTCCCGCCCGCTTTGCCCGCTCTGTCAAAGCCGCGATAGTGGACGGGGCATCAACTGATCGCCGCTGACCAACGGGTTGGTGGGTGGGTGAGTTGTATATACCTGTGGTACTACGAAAGTGTCTCTGTCCGTGCTTTGACGTGAGTGAATGTGTGAATGCTTTGAATGTCTAGATTAGTAACCGCGGATACGGATTCTGATTTCTGAGCAGTAATCGCCACGCACTTTCAGAATGTGGATCGCTCATGATTGTTCAATACAATACAATACAATACAATACACTAGAGCATAATAAGCCCGCCAGCGCCTCGCCAGCATTTTAGTAGCCGTAACAAAGTATGCGCGAGACAAATACGGATGCATCATATACTATTGATATTGCAGTGAAAATGCTTGGCAGCTGGCAGCCAATCGGCTTTCACTTCAGCCAATACAGTTCAGCCTCCAAAGATCGCTGGACCAATCATACATATAGTATGTTCCTAACTGTCAATCGCCCACAAAAAGCAGCACGTCGACAGCCCTCTGAACACTTGTGATACACCGCCCACGCTGATACTAAGCAGTGAGCACGGGCCGACATAATGCTGACATTATGATCCAGTAACCTTTATGACGCTATAAACGTCATTCCCCTCGCTCCGAACGGCCACCGCCATAAAACCTGCCTCGACCAACAAACGCAGCGCAGAATAAATAGCATTGTCCACAGGTGGTGGCAATACTGGGAAATGGGAGAAAATAACTCGGGTGTATGCGCACCTGTCGTATGGAAAGCCCTTGGTTACCATTGAACTCTAGCAACTTGGGAATAAGTGTGGGTCGTCGTGGTACAACAATTATATAAACAGGCCTTGGAGAGGAAGCTTGGATGTGCTGCAAGAACTTTGATGGTAATAACCACTTGACATCAGCAAACAGCGACTTGGACATTTCCATAATCGACTTGTGCCGACTCCTTCGATGGGTAGGCATTGATCATACCATAATAATCTTTTTCGTAACACTCTTTCAGAAAGATAAATAACCTGACCCGTACGCATAATATGGGCACCGGACAAGTTTATTAGAAAATCCAGAGAAAATATGCTTGCGTAGGTTTCTAAGGGAAAAAATCTGGACACGCCGACGAAACCGGCCCATACCGTTCCATAAAGCCCGAAATAAAACCCCAGCATCGCCCCGAAACCCGCATCTGGATGAACCCTTATCACGTGACTACGATCCATGGCTGCCTACTGCCCTGAACAACCCCATTCACTGGCCCACACAGCCCCGTGTCCCATCCCCACCACCGAACTGACCTGTCCGCATGTCTGCGTTGCCCGGTAGCCGTCCTCAGGTCAATCCTGCCGATCACAGGAGAGCAGAACGTGCTCCGGTCGACCGCGCCGGCCACCCCCGAAATTTCCGGCCCAAATTCTGCCGCAGCCGGTCCAGTCGCCTCCAGTGCTGGCCAACCTGACGCGATCGATACACGGTTGCTATGGCGACCGGCCGCCAGCTGAGCCGGCGGCGACGCGACGCAGCCGGCCAGTCGGCGGCCGGCGCCGGCCGGGGCTTCGGAAGACGAGGGGGCGCCGGTGAATCCTGGGGGATGGGGACGGGAGATGAGACGGGACGGAGTCGCGAGGTGTCCAATTCGGGACGTGGAGGATTAAGTTCGAGGATATTGACAGCCATCATCCGTGGGAGGATGGTGTTGAAACTGAAAGTCGGTTGGCAGGTTGGCAGCCGAACAATGACGTCAGAAAGTCTATGACGTAGGTGGGATGAGCGGCTCGCAGTAGGGAATGATCTGCGTGAGCCGACTGCCAGCGAAAGTGACCGACAGTGAGTGAGCTAGGCCGGGAAACCCACCTGATGTCAGAGTGACGGGCGGTCAATGGACCGAGCTGTCTGGTATGGTCCGACTCGGTCTAGAAGAGACGGATAGCCGCGAGACTCGGTGTGGGAGAGCCGGAGAGCCGAAGGAGACCAGGGAGAGAGACGGAGGAGTGGAGACCGGATGTTGCTGGAAAGGAGAGGCGTCAGTGGTTAGCTTAGCGCTATATTCGCGAGGAGGCACAGAACGGAAAATAGCATTGACGGGATGAAAGGACTGTAGCGAAAATTGACAGATGCTGCATATCACATAGTCGCGATGCGAACATTTCCTGCCAACAGCTAACTTCAGTTCAGTTGAAGTCAATTTAGTTGAACATTGTTGGATTTTACGTCTGAGTCTGTGTCGAATTTAACCGTCTAATTTCACCTCACATCTCGATTAAAGCCCATTTCACATTATGCGGGTGTCAATCGAACTTCCAGGAAATGTTCATGAGTGGTTCGGAGTAACGTCTCCGGAAGCTATCCTCGCGACAATGAATCACCCGATTCTCAGAACGCAGATAGATAACAGTGCTTCCTAATTCAGCTTGTCGTCGCAGAGAAGGCAGTTTCACGCCATGCCAATCTGCGAGCCCTTCACTGGCCCGAAAACAATACAGCTCAGCCTACTTCAATATATTTCACTCGGTTAATAGAAAGGTTTTATAAAACATAATTAGAGCGTACAAAAGCATTAACAATCCACCGCCGGCGTCTTGGGTCGCGTCGTTTAGCCTCTAACACACACCCCTATCACTCTCACGGGGGAGGAGGGGGGGGGGGGTACCCCAGCTAGGGGGCAGATACGAGGGCGTATCAGCCCGCAGCGGCGTGCTAACCCTCGTCCCAGTGCCCTATATTGCACCGATTGGCAAGAGCGCGCAGATCCAGGCCCATATACTGTAATCTTCTCCTGAGTTGGAGCGTAGCCGGGAAACGCCCGCCAGCCGTAGAGAAAACGTTAGCGCAGGCGCCGGGGAGGGGAGACTGGCATGAAATCGCAGCACCGTTCGTACATGACTGACCTAACCTCTCGGCGGCGTTGCTCAGTATTTAATGCGAATGCATCGCCACGCGGCAGTTCTAAGACCCCGGGCCTCTGCTAACAGACGGGACTGAGCGACGTAACAGCATCTAAACACGAGCGATCCGGTGAGAGTTAGACGGCGGCCTTCAACGTTACGTCGGCACCGCGCGTGAGCGAGAGCAGAGAAGGGCGTCCAAGCCGCGAGCCCAGTGGAGCGAATATCAGACTATTGAGTCTCCTGAACCAATATCAGATCATAATGCGTCCGGTACAGGTCTAGAACGGTGCAAAGTCCCAGAGGACGAGCCAGAGACGGCGGTATCGCCGGTTTCAGAAAACCACACATCATACACACACAGAGACAAACACCCGAGAAAAATAAGAGAGGACCGCGAGTCAGACACACAGAAAAGAGGATAGTGGGGAAAAAGTAAGTGAGGGTATAACAAAGAGCAGTCACGTCACCAAATATGGATTATAGACAGACAGGACAGAGGAGGGGTAGAGGGGCCACTTTCCATTCGAGACACAACAGCCGTACCCCCACACGGCCCACGCCGCGAACCACACGAGTCCGGTCTCCAGCATCTTCCCTTGTCACTGGCCGCCGGAGTCACTACTTCTTCAGCGTCTGATTCATCTTGCTCATGATGTTCTCGAAGCTGTCCGAGCCCATGTAGTCCATCTGGCCTCGCTCCCAGGCGGCGCGGCGCGCCGAGTCCTCGGGCGAGGGCTCCGCCGGCGATAGGGACACCTTGGCCAGGCCGCTCACCAGCTCGCTCTGTCGGACGACAGTCGAAACAGAGGTTACAAAACTGGCCGAGAGATGACGGACGTCGTGCTCGTGCGAATCAATGGTGTGGTGATTGGGGGCTCACAAGGGAATTAGCGTTATCGCTACACGGCGCAAAAAAATGAGGTCATGACGAATGGTGCTGGAGAAATAAATAAAAACACTCCCGCAGTGAGAAATGAAAAAAGGTTTGGGGAAAAATAGAGGGGGGGGGGACAATCAAGAGCGTGCATTGCACTTCGCAAAAAGAATCACAGAGTTCCAATATGGCGATCACTGATGACAAAACAACTACAGACAGCGTCGCAGTATCATTTTCTGAGTAGTGCCCATCGCTACGTATATATTTCAGAGCTACTATCTGATCTGAAATGCGTCATTCGACTATTTGCAGATTCTAAGTCTAGACCAGTGTTGGAGGCACCTATTGAGGGCAGTCAGTACGGAACATGACAGGTTCCGTGGAGAGGTGCAGGAGTTAAGCGTGCTACTACACCCATAATAACCCCATGGCTCGGTTAGAGCTTCTATTGTCACCACATATGAACGTGCCACGAAATGGATGTATTTCAAATGTGCAATGAGACTAACTCTAACAATGAATGATAAATGCCCAAGTTGAGGCTTAATTCAAGGTCTAACAATTACACATCACACAACAACTAAGTGGACTAGCTGAATAAAAATCAAATGTGTCCTATGAAAAAACGATTCTAATAAGAGCTGTTGAACCGTTTAACTGTTTAACTGTTTTACGTTCAGATTCAAACAATATCTGCTCCAAATTTCAATCATTGCGGTCAACCATACCACCATATAATTGTATGTGGTGACAGCGTCTTACAACCTTCTACCATACAACCCGACCACATCGCCGCCCACTACCTCATTCTAGCTACATCTGCGAGGCACGACCACTTACGCTTGTTGCTTCTAGGGGCTGCTCCGAATGACCGGGACTGACCTTAAATGGAAGGAAGCGTTCGTTAGTCCCAAGGGTTAGTCCACTACACTCGATCACACATGAGGGCCCGGTCAGTTGGTTACTATTAGTAGTCCCACAAGTTACGTGCTGGTGTTAGATACGTATGATACTGTTACAAGTGTGTTATTAGGGTGTTACCAACGTGCCACAACTGTGATACGAGGGTATTACTAGCGTGTTACGACCTTGTAACTAAGATGCCAAGGCGGTGTAGCGACAGAGTTATGACAGTGACGGTATGACTGTGATGAGACCGAGTCACTCTGCTACTACCTCAGCATACTTGCAGTGTAACTATGGAGTCGCAATAACGTTACTCCGCCATTACACCAAAGTTACACTGCAGTGACTCCGGTCTCACGTGTTACGAGTGACGGATCAGCCGCGCACACACGGCCCTAGCGCCCCGCGCCGGCCGTCCCGGTTCCCCCACTCAGTGTTGAGTAAGAACAGTTAGTAACTGTTGGAGCGGTGAGCGACACATGGAAAGGCAGCTCAGCCGCACGCCACAATCAGCCACGGGGAGAGGGGTAGTGAGACAGGGAGAGGGTTCAGGCGGGTTACTACAGAGCGGCAGGGGCGAGGCTCGGGAGGGAGAGTGCTAATGGTGAGGGACAGACAACACAGATGCAGCGGTAAAGCTGAATCTCCCCTTGACGACACGTACTACCTCTAAACACAGAGGCAAGCCGGCGTTTTCTTCTTCCACGCCCGTTGCGCGCTGTACGCGGGCCACGATCAGCGAAATGTCACAGATGGCGACTGGGTCGGCCGGAGCGGAACTGGTGCCAGCGAACGGACTGCGTGGCCGAGCTTACATAGAAAAGCGCAGCGAGGCACACAGAAACTATGGCCTGATGGATGACCAGGGACGGGAGGACGAAGGATAGAAAATGGCGAGGGTTTGAGTGTCGAGGATCTCGGAGGAAATGCTGGAAGATCGGTGGGTGGTGCCGACGGGAAGGTAAAGGTTGACGACATAGACCGGGCGGTAGGCGGCGGCATTGTGTCAGTGCAGAGGACGGCGTGAGGCGGTGAGCGGAGGGCGGTGTGAGGCGGAGGGCGGTGCGTGCGCGCGTCCCCTGCGGAGGCATCCACTACAGCCAACACCCAGTCAGCGGCGCCTGCCAGGCACCCTACTGCCGCGCGTCGCGGCGCCACCAGCCACCAAGCGTCCCGGCCATGCTGCCGCTGCCCTGGAGGGGTGCGTGTGCGTGTCGGGGCGCGCTGCCAGCGTGTGTGCGTGTGCGCAGTGCCACTCACGTGCGCGCCGGCCTCCTGGGTGGCAGCGGGCTGCTCGGGACGCTCCAGGTTCTCCGTAATGCGGCGCCACACATTGTCAAACCGGTCGGCGCCGGTGAAGTCGATGCGGCCCTCCTCCCAGCGGCGGCGCTGCTCCTGAGACTCGGGGTCGGCCGCGCGAGCCGCCGCCGCCGCCGCCGCGCCGTTGGACAGCGACCCGTGCGCCGGTTTGGTCCCTGGCGTGCCCCTCCCCCCTGGCAGTCGGCTACCCGTCGGTTTAGTCCCACTACCCGTCATCTTAGCCCCAACACCCGCCATTTTAGTCCCACTACCCGTAGCTCTAGTCCCTGATGCGTTACTCCCTGAAACTCTCGTTGCGTTAGCGCCTGAAATCTTCGTCACCGTAGTCCCCGGCGACTTAGTCCTTATCCTCCTACTACCCGCAACCATTCTAGACCCTGTCTTAGTCCCTGAAACTTTGGCCCCTGGCGCTTGGTGCCCGTCTTGCCCCGCTGGCTGCTTGGCGGTCTGTGCTTTCATCCCAGTCGATCCTATCGTACCTTTCGTAGCGGAACTTTGTGCCCGTTTACCCTGTATCGGAATTCCCTCCGCACTGGCTGAGGGTTTGGGTGCGGCCGGTGCCCCGGTCTGCCTGGATCTGTGCGCCCCGTGACTGGACCTTGGACGCGGCGGTTCGGCGCTCCAAGGACGGTGAGGTGGCGGCGGCCCCGGTGGCGTCCACGGCTTGGGCTGAGGCTGAGCGGGAGCGGGAGCGGGAGCAGGAGCGGGGGCAGCAGGAGCCGGTTTAGGAGTCCAAGCAGGAGCTGGGGCGGGAGCTGCAGGAGCGGGAGGGTTCCAGGCAGGGGCCGGAGCCGGTTGCGGAGGCGGAGGATTCCAGACAGGAGCCGGAGCAGGAGCCGGCGGTGGAGGATTCCAAACAGGAGCCGGTGCAGGAGCCGGCGGCGGCGGCGGAGTCCAAGCAGGGGTCGGCGGAGTCCAGGCAGGAGTCGGAGGGCTCCAAGCAGGAGCCGGTGGCGGCGGAGGAGGGTTCCACACAGGAGCGGGAGCCGGCTGAGGCGGTGGCGGTGGCGGCGGCGTCCACACGTGGTGGACAGGAGCCGGCGGCGGCGGCGGCGGCGGAGCGGTGTGGCTGCTGGCAGTGGGTGTGTGCGTGTAGTCGAAGAGCGGCGTGGGCCGCCGCGGCCCGCTCTGTCTCTGGTCTCCCGCCCACAGCGGCTCGACGGCCCTCTCCCTGAACACATTGGCCGGGCAGTCGGCGCCGGTGGCCAGGTGGGGCGCCAGGGTCGGCGGCGGCGCGGCCGCCGACAGTACCTCACACGCCGGTCCGGCCGACAGCTCCTGAGAGCCAGCCACGCAGAGCGAGGAGCAGAGCGGCAGAAAGACAGAGAAAGAACAGAGGGGGACAGAAGTGAGACGCAGAGCCAGACCAGACAACCGACCACCACCCCGTGCCGGACAGCGCAGTCCCACCCGGCAGCCGACCACGCAGACAGAGCTACCAGGGAGAAAACGGCCCCCATCACACCCCGCCGGCAGCCAGAAACTCAGAAATGCAGTCCCCCCGAGACAGGAACGAGAGAAAATAAAATCAGTGATAGGTTCGTGTAGAGAAGCGGTCGTGGTGGCACGGCAGCATGTCCGAACAGTGCCTGTTTTGGGCAGCACTGTTGATAAGCTGAGTAAAAAGACACGAAATATCCACGCCTGCATCATACAAGAGTCCTTCAATAAACAATGTTCTGAAAACGACAAGCAACTGCCCTAAAAACAAGCACTGTTCGGCTTAGTCACCAGAATGTGGTTAGTGCAAAAATCACACGGCAAACATCTCACCAAGTCAGAGTGCACGAGACGATGGGGAAACAAATGCAAGACATGACACACTTCAGTAAGCACTTGGGCTTGAGCCATTAGTACAAACAACTCACCAGCAATGGTTGTGGAATGTATCTTTTATCCTAACATGACTGAATTACAGCACATATGGTTCGGTGGAGATAACAAACAGCGCCATCCGAAGTGTTACGTATCAGCAAAAAAAAAAAAGTTCACTTTCAACAAACTCAAGACCAAAAGTTAAACCGGTTAAATTGTGAATAGACAACTGGCACCAACCAGTGGATATTTATCAACAAAATTAGGTGAAAAATGCCAAAATATTCGATTAAAAAATATCAAAGAATTAGGATACATATTATGCTTCTAAAAACGTAAGAAAACTGACTGCGAAGCAAGCGAAACAATGTGCTGATGCTGCTGCGAGAAAAAATCAGACGCCACAAAAATGACATCGACACATTGATATCGGACACGAACAGAGAAAATGCGCATTGCAAACGAATTTCCAACACAAAATCCATTTGAAATGCGCATTTATCTGGTCCATGAGTCCGCGGTATAACTGGCTAATCTACAGCCCAAAATACGGACACGTGGTCAGCTGCTGAACTAACCAAGCCTCAGTGCCTATATGTAAAAATTGGTAGTGTCTGTTGCGCCCGTGTGTTTGTCTCAGCCATCACGTGCATTGGTAAGCCTTCATGTGTCCGTGCAGCCCCCTTCCCCGACCCCTCCCCGCTGTTGCCCCCCGCCCCCACCCCTCTCTGCTCCAGTCCTCACCAAGAAGTGGTGTCCGCCGTCGGCTCGCCGCACGCGGCTCTGGTAGATGTCCCACCAGGCGGCGTGGAACCGGCCGGCCGGTGAGCTGGCGTCGCCCGCCTGGGGGTTCATCCACGGCTTGTTGGAGCCCAGGAAGTGGACGATCTTCACGTCCTTGCCGAACCTGTAAAGGGGAGACGGGAGAGTCGAGAATACGGTTAGTAAGGTGGCATAGCATTGTTTAGGGAGTGGGTATGGCACAAAATAGGGGACGAACAACACAGCAACAGTGAAAAATAATCCTTGTTAACAGCATCGACAATTTAAATATGAATATTATGACCTACTGTTAGATTACTTAAACAAGACACCATCATAAGAAAACATTGATCATAAGCCACCATCCCCACGCCCTTCAGACCTCGGCTCGTTCGCCCTCTCCCCTCCACGGCCTGCACTGACCTTAGGAAGGCGGGCAGGTACGTGTAGGTGGCGCTGGCGGTCATGTTGTACACAAACGGCAGGTGTCGACTAATGTCGCGCGTCGCCCAGTCGCTAAAGTGGGTGTTCAACAGGCCCTGGTCTCCGCCTGACGGACAAAATACACGAACAATATGTTAATGAAAGACAACCTGCAAACAAGTCGGTAGCCGATGCGTTTGACGCTTCTGTTTTTCAGTTATCTTGGACCTTACGAGCAGCGCAAAATAAATAACCTAACGAGGAAGGAGCATGCGCTTCATCTGTCTGACCATTGCATCATATTTTACACAAAACACATAGGACGTTCGATACATAATCACGCGTGTTGTGAGCAAAGCAATAAATGACATGGAAGGTGCAAAATGCCCGTGTCACATTTGGCTAAATCAGAAACAGAACATGGTGAGGTACTCGCATTCTGTAAGTTCTGTGAATGTTAAACCGGCCGGATGAAGCCCTACAATAAAAACCGTGTAAATAAAAACCACGACATTGAGGGACATGTGAGAAGTAAAATCTAGGCACTACGTCATGACAAGCCACATAACTGTTAACTGATGAAAAGTATCGGCGGGCTAAACATGGAAAACGTATACAGAAAAACGAACATGAACAACATTTTTGAAACCAAACAATTTTCGACGGGACATTGACAAACAAGCGTAACAAATCTGACCATAACTTCCGTCATTCTCGACTTACCTGCTAATAACACTTGGTATCGCATGAAACGGGAAATGCTTTAAACTAATGCAGGTCTTTAAGAAGTAAACAATGTGCCTGCTCAGTCGCATTATAAATTGCACAGCTAGAGCAAATAGACACATGCACTATCAATATACAGCAAATACAGAGCTCAAGCACCAGACAGTCCTAATAAGAAACTACAAATCGACTGAGGGAATCACATTAGTTCTCCTCATAATTCACAGACATTCGAAGACAACTACACATTCCACACTGCAAACTTCTGGAGAACCGTACCCATTCAGCATCACTTGGCCAGAAAACTACAAATTTTAGCACACGTCCTCAGCGTCTTCATCCAACAACTACCTTCCTCACGTTCGCTTCCTCACGTTCGTCATCATCTTACCGTCGAAGCTGCCCGTCTCGGCGGCCAGCTGGACGAGCGCCCTGAACGTCTCCTGGCTGGGTGTGAAGACGAACACGCCAGAGTTGAAGCAGTCGGGCCAGCCGATGTCGGGCGCCGCGGACAGCTCCTCTCGCTCGAATAGCTCGTCACAGTTGGTCATCACCTGATGGAAGAGGGAGTGGGGGGGGGCTGTCAGGGGTCGGGTGTGCAGCGAGGGAAGCGAGCGCGTTGAGTTCCTAGTTCAAAAAGCAGACACGATGTTCGAGGGTGCCAAAAGCGACGGTTTCAGTTATGGCAGATGCAGGTTTGAGGAAGGATAAGGAATTTTCCAAAAGAATCTGAGCATACGAATCAGCAGTGTAACGTCATGAGTGAAATTCCTTTCCAACAACAATGTCAACAGGAATAAAAACGTCTCTTTTGTATGTACAAAAGAGACTTTTGTATGTAGAAGGGATTGCATCATGCATCATCATCATCAAGTTATCGCAGGTAGACAACCGAAATAGCCACCAAGATAATTTGGCGCCTCGCTAACCACCATGGACGTTACAACCCCGAGCACATCACTGACGGGAGTTGTGAGCCTTCATCAATCATCATGTTATGTCACCAGCAGACCATCTCTTCTCCCTACTCCCTGACTCCCTGACCACATCGTCAGGCTTCATGTCTGGCCACCGCCGCCCGTCTGACCTACAAGGGCGCCCGTGTGGGTTGGCAAGGAGTCGGGTCCGCCGGCGGGACAGGGGCAGGGGCAGGGGCAGGGGCAGAGGGGAGGGGCAGGAGGGGAGGGTAGCGCTCCAGACAGCCCACGCCGCCCCTAGACACCACGTGCGCGCGTGATGCCGGACAGTGATAGGGCTATGCGATGGACACGAGTAGAGAAGCCGAGCTAGCATGATGTTCCGTCATCCATTCAGGCAGAGGGCACACAATAACTCAGTTGTTCCGTGTTCGCTTGGATACCACAGTTCGTAACAATCCCCTTCCCACGCTATTCCTGGACACTGCGGTCCTACGCTCTCTCATTCCCACGTCATTAAGCTGCATTCACATGGCAGGCGAATCGATTCTTCCGTATGGCCAGTTCCGACGCCCTGTCCAAAAATACCAGAACGCGTCCCGGAGAGACGCTTTCTTTTTGCCACACCCCTTTCGTACCGTCGCTCGGCATCCGTTGACCCCAGCACGCCCGAAGCGCGTGCGGAGATCAGTTGGCAAGGTGCCGAAGGTTCGGCTGGCACCGGGCCAATATGTGTAATTCGCCGGCCTCCGGCCACCAGACTGACATAGCCCAGAGCCCAGACAAACGGGCAGTGACGTCTGGGATGAGGCTGTTCAGGGCGCAATGTATGACCCGAGGGACACCACTTGATAGTGAGGCATAACGGCCGGAAGATGGGCGTTAAAATCGGATAAAGAGTATGTAAAACTACATAGGATTTCAGATGTAATCTTGAAAATATCAATGATGGCGACATCAACCGTACAAAATAAAAATCAACTTTATCAAGCCAACCAGATCGTCCTATCACCAAGAGATGATGCAACAGGACACATAGATCACGTGGCGTTAGCCCCGGATCGTCATTTTCGTCATCCCACCGGCGCGTTGGTAGACCGCCGATCAATAGTTTCAACTAGCATTACTGGCATCAGTCGATCTGTTGTCCCACATCAGCCGAAACCAACATCAATTGATATGTGACCGTATTGACCAGACAAGCTATACAATGAAGCTTTTTATCCTGGTTTTGGTGGCGCATTTTGATGAGGTGATGATGTCTAAACAAGGGCCAGACTTCTCGCACTTTGCATAAAGTCTAAAACACGATTGCCACACCATGAGGGACCAGCCAAATTTTAAGGGATCCGGTAACCACCAGGGTCACGGTGATCGATTGGTCTATACGAGTTGACCCAGCCACGGTCATTCTCCCTGATCTCCAACTTAGCCAGAGATCAGCCACCCCACCCTGCGCCTCCGCCGTCCAACCGACCGAATTATAGCGCCGGTCGCGCGGTGCGACCGGACCCAGTCTGCAAATAGACCACCACCCCATCCCATCCCCGCCTCCGCCCCCGCAGCAGGCACCCCGGGCCATCGGCTGCCGACCTGGCATACCCCAAGGCGCTCGGGCTGTTCGAGGTCCGACCCCTAAGCACCCCACCCGCGAATCAGGGGCCGGCGAGGGGCTATGAGGGGCCACCACGAGGGCGGCAACGTGTTCTGTCAACTAGCCATGCTCTTTGCACATGCTCCTCAGCTCACCATGGAAACCGGGGGCGACTAACGGCGTGACCGTAGAGGGGCACCAACCGAACGTAAACAGACGGGACCATTCCAGACATGCCATTTGCAGACATGACGCCCGGCGACACGCTGCCACGAGGCCGACCGGGGGTGACTTATAACGCTGGGAGATAAATGGAATCATGATGGTCGCGTCAAGTTCAAAGGGTGGGTAGTAACGCAGACTCCTGAATGGTTGTGCGACTAACAGGTGAGCAGGAATTATTATTCTCAAGCGTCGAGCGCCGTGCAATTGATGCGATTCAAAACACCATGCAGCCATGGAGTTGCAGTAAAGTTTGATATTTTATTTCTAAATCGATTCTCCGAGCCTGACCTTGCCGGCCGCAGCGCTGTACCCGGAGGCGAGGCTCCGTGCACACTGCACAGCACATCAGATGCGTTATGATGTAATAAAACCCAACTAAGGAAGAGTTCAAGAACTTCTATGGCAATCGTATCCTCTGGAGCTCCACCAGACGCCGCCGTGTGTGTCTGTGTGTAAAAAGCGGCGGCCGACCGCGGCGGCTGCGGCTGTCTGGGTTACCGCCCCAGGCGTTGGCACAGGAGCGGAGCGGCCGAGTCATTCCCGGTCCCACTGCCTACCCAGCAGCGGAGGGAAAGTTACCGTCCAGACTGGGCTGACTTGATGAGACTGTGGATCCACCTGTAAGGCGAGTGTGTCTGCTAACAGTTACCCCAAAACATCTGATTTGCGATATTTTGAAAACGTTCTGCCCATCAGAATGCACAGACATGTAGGGAGTTAAATACCTACTAATATCTCATTTACGACAGGTTGAAGAACTGAAGAGTTACGGCGTCCCTCATGTCAACTGACTCACTAGGCTTGTAAGATCAAATGGAAACGGGACTCTCAGCACGTGCCTAAAACGACACGGCTCGATTCACTACACGGTGATATTACCTCCAATGCATTACGATACATATCCTACGTCGTGTTCTTGAACCAGCCAGTTGTGATGCATTGCACACAGGTAATCGCCAAATCAAAGTCGTGCCACGGCATAGCTGAATGCGGGCCTCGGCTGGACCGTGCAGCTACAGACTAGAAACAGAATTGGCGTGAAACGGTCCGTAGGCGTGCATTTGTTGTTTCTTCTTTGTTCAAAGCGCTTTGGAAGGAATTCTTTTCGAGCTTTAGATGTTCTTAGATCCAGAGGGGAACGTGGGAAAGCCCCCTATAATGTAATTTTCATCAGCGAAGCCATGGTTGCACCGCTGAAAAAAAAAATACGCTAAAGATTTGAGCATTCTACATCTCCCAGGCAATAGAATTAAATCAGCGTTGTTTATGACGCGGTTACGTCTCCTATCTGATTGCTGCTTGCCGAAGGCCTTGGCCCATTGGCCATTGGCATTTCTATAACCCACCAGGACTGGGACATGAAAAGCGCATAACAAAATAAACTATCCAGGCTGTCTGCCAAACGATTGTCTGTGTTTATCATTACGTAACACAGCTCATCGCTACCAGACCTCCCCGTCCACCTATTACAGCAGACGCTCCAGCGGACTTCACCAATGGCGCAGTACCGCTAAGGTTCGACCTCGCCCGGCCCACGCCACCCCACCTGCCCGGTTCCGCCACCCGGCCTCAGCCATTGATACCCATGGCACGTCTGATGGACAAATGGTCGGCTGGAGCTGTCTATACGGCGGCGCCAGAGAGCGACTGGATGTATCTTCAGCTGTACTGAGTCGAGATGGGTGTTTCATAACTCACTAGAAATAAATTCAAAATAAGAATAAGTGGGACTGGATAACCAGAAACCAGCCTTGGTAAAGTTTGAGAAGAATGTGGATAGAACACCAGGGAACGTCATGGCAAAAGGCCAAAATCCCTTTTGAAGCGTCTCATATTGACGCACAGTCGACAAGCTGCCGTACCGGGTGGCCTGGAGGCGCCACTGAGCAATGTCAAGCGACCTGTGACCTGATTGGTCGCCTACGGCCGCGGCCACGGGTCATGTGACCACAGCCGGAGGCGCTTGGCAACCGGCCCGATTCAGGTAGCCGGGGTAAAATACGATACCATGCTCCGTGCTCGTCGTAAGACCATTCCAAGTGAACGATGTCTACAACGAGCCCATGATGATGTCCAAAGATTCCAGTCGCAGCCTACGCCAAGCCAACGTTCAATAGCGCCTTAGCAGAGCGCTAACGTTCAATGTGTGTTTAGCAGAATACAGTCCCAAGTCCTAAATTCCACCGCCTGACTGTCGCCAGATCTGGAGATCATCAGACGTGTGACCTTGCGAGACAGACACGCGCGAGACAGAGACATACGAGTTACGACTGGTCGGTGGCTGGAGAGACAAAAGATCAGACAGGGATGGATGGAGGATACAATCAACGAAAGAAGGCGATAGAGACGACACTGCCCCGGAGGATGTCTGCTTGAAGCAGGTGTAGGAGATCAAGTTAGGACTCCTAAAAAAAATGCAAAAAAAACTGATGTACGATTGAGAAAAATAAAACACAAACAATGAGAAAAAAGAAGCCGATAATGCCATAGTCCATTGCTACACAACTATAACATCGTCTCGCAAAAATAATTGCGAAATATAACACGTCTTGAATACAGGCTGTGACCAAACATTGGGCGTTGCCTATAGCCATAGCCAAATAAGTTTCCATGAACTGTTGACCGGAGGCAGAACTAGGCCCGCGGGCCTGGAGACGAGCCCCTCAGACGTCGCGGCCCGCCAGACGACACATGTCGTGTCAGGATTGTGTCACCCGCAGCAAAAACGCCACAGAGACAGGCGTGTAACTCGGCACTGTGGAGTGTGATTAATGACACAAAAGGCAGAATATACGAGAGTTGTCACGGCCGTCTCGCGTTGAGGGAAATATGAGGAGTGCCGATATGATAAATACACCAAGTCAGTTGATGCCGCGTAGAATGAATATCAGTTTGAAAACTAGACACGCCATAATTTTTAGGTCGTTCAAAGGTATAAAGAAAATTGGAAGGACAAACATTTCGAAATACGCAATACGCATGTTGAGCGCACTATCTAGCCGATACATTAAACAAAAAGCCAAATATTTATCAAAGCACGCAATACAGAAGTATTCAGCCAGACGCCGCCAATCAAACCAGATGTCCTGGAGCGATACTATTCGCAAAGAGCTTCCAAAGTCCATCACTTCGGGTCTCGAGGCTCAAGTAAGACGCCCTAACAAGTAACAAATGAACCATACCACAGAACGAAGAAACCAGACAATCATCGCAAAAAGAGCAATCTGCATTGCAAGTCCCTGACGGCTGAAGACGTCAGCCAGAGTACATCCAGCACACGGAACGGAAACGAATCTTGCGAAATCAAGCGACCAGGCGATTGTCTTGCAGTTACAAGTTGTTTGTTTGGTCAATGAAGAATCTCAGGCAGTCACGGGTTACGATTGCGTCACAATTTGCCCTTCGCTGGGTCGACGACGGTCCAAATGATAAAAATAGCCCCACCGATATGATTCGGCAAGGTCAGGTCGCGACCGATTCGACGGCTGGCTCGGCGCTCCGCCAGCGAGCCGGAGCCGGGTCAACAGGACTCTGCTGTTGGAATTCCACACGAGATGAGATTGTTTGCTGTATGTTATTTATTTACAAGAGCTTGTTTGCTGTGCCTGGTATTTATTGGCAATACGATAGATGCAGCTCGGTTTGCAATTATCGTTGCCTTATAAGACTCAACATACACACACATAATAAATATGGCACTTGCCAGCCGACAGGCTAAACAATAACAACAAAAAGCTTCGTGCCGACAGACGTGTGGCATAATTCAGACGTCGTGGCGGTGGTAGCGTGAAGCCATGTGATGATGGAAAACTCATCCGAAACTCCAACCGATTCTGGCCTCTGTGAGCCTGTGAGCCATCGCATGCCTCCCCAGTGCAGTTGTCCGATAGACAGCCGTGATGGTTTGCTACAACGACGACTGCACCCATCAAGAACCGGCCTCATGGCCGACAGCAGTGCACTCTGGTATGTGAATCTGAGCTGAGACGACAAATTTGGAGCTGCAACCACTGCAAACCGGCCGCGGGATGGGAGCTTCACGGGACATTGGAGCCTCAAAACGGGGTAAATGCTCTGCAGGCGAATACACGTGGCCATCCACTCATGAACTGGAACTAGAAACTAACACCGCGCCACCGCCCAAGGGCAATTGCGCCATAGGTAGTAGAAACATGGGAGCATCTATTCGCTGCCATCACGAGCTGACGGCAGCTCTGCCTCTGTTCCCGCTAATAGCCCAGTATCACACATCCACTCTAGCTATGCCCCGACCGGCCGCAATCTAGTCGCCAACATCAGCGCTCCAGACCACCTCGCCAAGTTCACGGCGACTGGCCGCTCTCCAAGCTCCGGTCGGCGGGGGCGGGCTGTGTCAGCTCTCAGCAGCCGGCGAGCTGCCGCAGCCCTGGGCTGGCGCCGAGGTCTACCGCTGTCGGCCACAGGTGTGCTGGCGTGTTACCCTCCTCCCTCCCACTCTACCCAGCACTCCCGACGACCTGCCCCGCCTTCCCCTGCCCACTCTTCCCTCCCCTCCACTCCCTTCCCCGCCCACCAAGCTCTCCCTCAGGCCAAGCTGACAGTGGCAGTGCGGGCGGTCTCCCCAGCTGGTGACGTCACGTCAGTGCACAGTGGACACAGCTGTGTGCCGTTGACGGCTAGCTAATGTGGTAAGAACTGACGCCAGCCGGTCGCAGAAGGGAGGCGTGGTCCAGGGGACCAGCGGGACCAGGAGACCAGCGAGGACCAGAGTCCAGCGAGGACCTCCCACCGACGGCCCCCGACCGACCCGGCTGCGACAGACACAAATTGCACCGGAACTCGGAACACTGCGGTTACGATAAGGAGTGCCGGAAGGCTGGCTGGTGACTTTCCGTCACAGCAGATGGTGTTCGACTCAACTCCGTTTTGCTGGCATTGATAGTGCGAGGTAATTTAACACCCAAGCAAGGAATATATTACAGCCAACTATTCCATATTGGTGATGAATGAGCAGTTAGATGTGTTGTATGCAATGTTCATTGTGCATACAAAGTGACCTACGCTTCTCCAAGAAATTTGTTTCAATCGTCTCATGATGCCCGAAACGAAGGCTATTAAAACGTTCCTCAGATCATGCGTAAAGCATGCGTATCGGTCCTCGCAGGCCGCCAATAACCCATTTATCACGGCTAAACACTACGTATCGTTCAGGGTCAGCTCGAGCGTGGCCGAGCGTGATGAGCGTGACGAACGTGTTGCTGTCGATATATGGCTAATATATGACAAGATATTGGCATCCTAATGACAACTAGAAGAGGCTTTAAGGCCATCATATGCCATCCATCCGAAATTCGTAGTGAGAAACGGAAAGACGGCACTCGTATCATGCCTGACAGAACTCGGAACCTAACACAAGCAGTTATAATCCACAAACCACAAGAATGGATCTTTCCGCACTAAAAGGTTTGAGATGAGCCTGAAAATTGACTTCGGGGATTAAGTCTATGCCTGTTGGGCGAATTGTGCTGGACATCACATCGATGAGGACAATGGAGTCGGAGAGGACAATAGGGCCGCCACACGCAAGAGTCACCCCAGTATGAACACTCACCAAGCAGTCGGCGTCGAGGAAGACACACTTGGAGAACTGAGTGAGAGTCCAGCAGTGCAGCTTTGTCAGCGTGACACCCAGCTCGGGCCGTGACATCAGGGCCAGGTGTGCCGCGTCACCCGAGTCCATCACATCAACACTGATGACGTCATCGAAGGCACCCGAAAGCTGAGTCCTGGCGGACGACAGGGAAGCATGGTGATGATGCTGTTGTTTGTGTTGTTACGGTTGTCATGGGTCAGGAAGCATGTTCGCTCCGAGATAGGATGTGTTTTGAGTCGGTTGGCATCCATTGTTCGTTAGTCAAGTTATGGCGACGTAACACGTCTGTCAACGGCGATAAATGGTTCTCTAGTGCCGTCACCCGTGATGCTATCAAGACAAAACAGTTATTTATTCATCGTCATCGCGCTGGAAGGAGGCACAAGGTCGCATTATTACGAACGGGCGCCAAGCTCATTTATAGTAGACAAACGAAAAAGGGCTGAGAACAAGTGGTCAGCCGGCCGGGCGTCGTAACGACTTGGAGCATCAGTGGGCTCCCTACGAGGCGATGCCTTTCCACGCGTCACGACTGGGGTACCTAATCCAGAGCGGCTGGGCCGACCGGTCTCAAAAGTTCGGATGTTGTTAGGGACCGGTAAGAAGGGTGGCCCACTAAAGTCAGATGGGGTAGCAATTACCGCGTGCGCACTAGCAGAGCCCGTCAATGCACTTATTCCTTCGTCGACCAAAAGACACCTTATTGGTAACGAATTTTACAAGTCGGAACGATAAATAAAATAAACATGTATAAAATGATGCAGTTAAACTATTACCTGCTCGACGTGACCAAAATATTGAGATGTTTGATGATACGAACTGGTAGGTTCTCCGTTCAAAACTAGAGGAGCATTAACGCAGCTTCCGGCTCAAAATTTACCGGTTGACATTGCCCAAGCTAAACGACCATGGAAAGAGGACAAGTAGGGTTGAGGAAGCGGTGGTCAGGGCAGGGCCGGCGATCTGTCAACGCCGCCAGCCTGACAAATGTGGCACCACCTTCGATCTGGGTCAGCGGCTGGCCAGACCTGACGTGTTTATTAGCGGATAGGTGCGCCTTTTTTACCATGGAGTAGGCAAAAAAAAAAAAAACGCCATCCATCAGGTAGTACAGCCAGCCGCATTTAACGCGATCAACTCTAGCTTCAGAGAAACCTTCTCTTAACCCTATTAGTGGCAGGGGGGGTTGTTTTTATCCACCCCTCAGGTTTTTCGGGAATATCTCCGAAACCGCTGAAGCTACGATGCTGAAATTTTCTGACTTTTCCTAAAACTAAATTGGGCACATTCCCTGAAAATTTCAAGTTCATAACTTTACCAGGGGCGGCTCCAGAGCACTGGGAATTGGGGGTCCTATTCGTGAAGCGAGTCATTTGGGCGAAGATCACGATGCTGCACCAGTTTTACGAACAGTGAGTGAAAGGTATCATGTGATAACATATACAGTTATTGTGCATCCTCTTTTGACACGTTTTTGCTATAATAGGCGGATCCAGGCGTCCAAAAAGGGGGGTTATGTTTTACCTCCCAACATAGGTGCCCTGACACCGCCTATGCATGACCAATACAATTGTAGTCGTTCTCTCATAAGAAAATTGTAACATAACAAGACCATTACCACCCTTTTTAGAAACAGTACCAACAAAAACCTTATTTACTATACTTTTTGTGTACCCCCAATCTCAATGATCTGTATCCGCCTATGATTTTTGAAAATGCATATTTTTAGGATCCATGTGAATTCCTGGTTCATTCTCTATCGATCGGCAAAAGTTGCGTTAAGATTGGTTCAGAAACCTGGCCGTGATAAACAGTCTAAAATGTATCTGCAATTTGCCCGTTTTTACCCCCCTCTACCCCCCCCCCCCCCTATTGACATTTTTCAATTTTTATTTTTTAGAAATGTAGATCACGTTGAGCGAAATCGAATGCCATTTGAATTTTGAAAATCGGCCCGTTAGATCTCGAGATATCAAGGGGGGGTCGTAAACAGCCCCCCCCCCCCCTGCCACTAATAGGGGTATACCAGGAGCCTGCCACTAATAGGGTTAAAATGTAATAGCCTAAGTGAGTTGTCTGTACTGAGCTTCAGCTATCCGAGTATCATGATTTCAAAGAAAACAACAAGTAAACATATAACACACTATTCACACTTACTATCTGAAAAGATGAAATGTGCCTGCCTCAGTCAACATGACTTCCACGAGACGACATTTTACGGTGACTCGTATGTTTTGCTCAGATGTTTTGTGCGACTCGCTACCGTACAAGTTCGGGCATTTTGTACAACAGGAAAACCTACGCTGTTTAGATCTAGACTTCAGATAAGAAGAGTTTTTCTACATGCATGAGTGGAGTAGGTGATACTCGACTGCAGCAAAACACGCAGAAACGTCTCCGTTTGCATTATGATTCGCTCTCTGAGCGACCGAAAACGCAGATTAACTTTTCCATCATTGTCAAAATTATTCGACTTACTTGCAGATTGAGAACAACCATAAAGCATGCAATTTAAAAGTATATATGCCAGCAGCAGCATCTAGGTATAAAAGTCTTTTACACCGCCGTTCTCGGTCTATTAGGAAAACAAATGGAAGCTGCATCTGCAAACCCAGCATACAATGACCAAAACTATGTTCATCCCCCACGGCAGGGATGAGCATCAGAAGTCGAACGGCACCGTTCCCCTGATCAGCTGAGCTAATTTTAGCGCACGACGGCGACAAGGGTTCCAGAAGCAACAACGCTTGGTCCAGAAACAGCCTATGTGGGCGGGCCCGCCCCACCGCGCCGGACGTAAAACAAGGGGCCCTTCCACCGGCCTAGAGGACGGTCTGCTGTCTGATGATACTGACAGGGCCGGGATACATGACAAATTGACACCTGTTACTAACACATTTTCTATTGCACACTGCATTGTTATCTCTTTGTAAAGCTCATTTACATTCATCATTTTGGCTTCGGTCCCGTAGCTCAGTCGGTAGAGCATTGGTCTCGGCGTGTTGAGAGCACGCGTCCCAGTTACAACAGTTCGGCTTCGAAGCGCGACGGGCGCACGATAGGTATGAGCCTCATGACTGGTATGGTTGCGGTTGGTGGCAGGCCATAGCCAGGCGAAGTCAGTGAGGGACCGGTCGTGCTCGGCTATGTGCGCACGTTAAACTTTGGACTGACGTCTGCCATAGATCAGGAATTGTTCTGCCATAGATCAGGAATTGTGCAATAAGATGGTAGAGGGCAGGGCCAACACAAGTGCTGCATAGCATTGGCTCTATACTTGTGAATCCTTCAATTAAAAAAGGTTTGGACTAAAAAATTCAAATCATATATCATCTGTAACTGTTTGTTGATGGAATTCATGATAATTTGTGCCTTGCAGTGTCACAATGATAAATATATATGAAGGGTATTGTAAGGATACTTGTTGGTTCGTTGAGCAGGGTCTGTATTTTCCTTTCCACACCACTCTCAGACTCCAGCCCATGAACCTTGAGAACAGCAACTGACCTCATGGTGTCTGTAACACCAGGTGTGATCATGACCACCAGCCGGTGAGCGGTGCCTGCCTGGCGCAGGGAGTGGGCCAGCACCAGCGCGCCCAGTGCGTATGCGTCTGTGGTGGCCAGCGTCACCCATGCCATTGGCTTTCCTGCAACAGTAAATAAGCAAGTTGATAGCAATTCTGGCTCTATACCATGCAATTCATTCATGACATGCAACAACAATGCAATTCAATGTCAAGTGGATAGTATTTTGAAGGTCACAGTCAACTTTATCATTAATTTTTAATCTTAATTTTTAAACTAAGTGATTTTCCAGCTTGACATGGTAGAAAATTTTAAACCAATAGCAAAATTTCAGCTAGTGAACTTACCTTGACTGGCCATTGTGTGTATTTTCTCTTTGCCCTGTTCTGTCAGCAAGTCTGAAAAACAACATATTCACTATGAATGAGCCACAGCAGCCAAACAAGGCATGCAAACAGTCAGAGTCACAGTTGCAGTGGGCCAAATAAATATGAAAACAGCGTAATTACAATTAAACTGATAAAACTGCCATGCTGTGACACTAAAAACACATAAAATTTGGTAGGTAACAAAGTCTTCAATTTTAGATAAAGAGCCACAAACTCTGAAATTTGGGACGCCGGTGAAAACAGGGCGCCGGAGGGCATATTAGTCACATGACATTTGGAACTTCTCCCGCTCCATGGGCCTTCCATGTGCCAAACGTCACGTGTAAATTTCACGAACCTTGATCAAATCGCCCCAGGCGCCCTGTTTTCACCGTCGTCCGAAATTTGAGACCAAACTTAGAGTATGAAATTCAATTGAAATTGAATTGAAATTGAAATACGATCATACTGTGCAACCATTCAAGCATCAGAATATTAATTCGGTTGGTTTTAGCTAGAAAGTGACACCAAAGGTCAACGTTCCCAACCTGAGCTGAAGAAGCGCCAAAGAAATCAAAATTAAAGTGTCATGGATGGTCACTCAACCACGACTGTGACTGTGACGTGACCGCGGCCTGCCTAAACCGGGTAAAATGGGACTCTGCAACAGGTCACAACCGGCTCGGGGTATTTTATCCTCCTACCTTGACGTGAGAGATTTCGCAAATCACTCAAAATCGTTGTCCACGTGCAGCACCGCCCACCACAATCACGCAAAGCACCCGCCCCCTTCGACGACGCACGCGCAGTGCTGCCAGATGGGGAAGGCTGTAATCCTCCAGATCAGTTACAAAAATCCTCTAGATTCCTCCAAATCCTATTGGTAGATATAGAAAGGCGGTCTTGGAGTCTGCGGGGGCTATACCCCCAAAAAAGTTTCACCAAATTCTAAAAACTCATCGGATTTCGAATCCTTTCGCACTGCTGTGCAGTTTAAAAGATACTTTTTCTTATTAAAGTTTAGTTTTCGTTTTATCCTCCAAAAAGAAACGAAAATTTTCGTCGATTTCGGGCGCTGCAGGGGAACCGGGGGCATTTGCCACCAAATGTCCCCCTTAGATCCGCCAGTAGTTTGGTACCCTCGTAGATATAGCTACAAGTACAGACAGACATTCTGCAGTCTCACGGTGATAAAGGACGTGATATATCCTAACGGGTAGGGTGACGCTGGGCAGGAAAATGCCTTTTTAGTCTTGAATGTGTTATATTTTTCCATGAAATTGAATATAATAATCGGGCGACAAATCCTCCAGATTTTCCTCCAGAATCAAAAATCCTCCAAAAGCGAAATTTGTCCGCAAATAGAGTTCAAAATCCTCCAGATTTGCGGAAATCCTCCAAATCTGGCAGCACTGCGCACGCGAAGAGAACTCTCGCCATTTCAAGGAAGAGGAAATTCATGCAGACAAGACAAACCACCCAGCTGATCATACTGAATCTTTTCTTCTTTTTATCGTTCCAAATGCATTCGTGAAGAAAGACTTTGAAAATGCAAATTTGCGAAGATAAATGCATGTCTTTGGATATAGAAACATATCGGTGGATAAGACTACCAATTGGCTTCAAAACCAGTCAAACCTAGTAGTATGATCTTGAATATTCACTCTTAAATTTGTGAATAAATGATCAAGGTCATTCAAGGTCACAGCTAATTTCTTTGCTTTTTTCCAAGCTTTTTCCACGGTGACTATAAATACGGTGATCTCATCTGGATTTGGTCACGTGATCATTTTCGAGCGCAGCGCACGTGCAGTTGTGGCGAGGGCACTTCCAGAAATTCTGGATCCATGCGATTTTGGAGCCAATGTAAAGTCTATGGGAAAATGGTCCATTTTTATTTGTTTTTCTTATCACACCTAAACTTTCAAGTTTTTCTCAAAGATTCACCCTGATTCATATGTAGAATTGATTGGTCTTTAATATGGTATCAATTTTAGATTTTTATCGGATAATTTCAAAAATTACTTACCATTTAAACTACCAAAAGAGGTGATTGCGGCTAAGCATTGTGACAGCCATATCATGTCATTGGGAAATTACGCTTTCTTGTGCATCTTCATTTTAACTGTTCTCGAAGTTAGTACCTACTGGATGATTCATGCGTAGAATTTGTTGAACTTTTGTCTTGTGTCACTGTTAATGCATTTATGAAATAATTATTCAAGTAATTTCGCCCCGGCCGACATGGACGCCGTTGTGAGCCGGTTTTGGCGTCGGGGAGAGAGAGAGAGAGAGAGAGAGAGAGAGAGAGAGAGAGAGAGAGAGAGAGAGACGGAGACGGAGACGGAGACGGAGACGGAGACGGAGACGGAGACGGAGACGGAGACGGGGGAGAGAGAGAGAGAGAGAGAGAGAGAGAGAGAGAGAGAGAGAGAGAGAGAGAGAGAGAGAGAGAGAGAGAGAGAGAGAGAGAGAGAGAGAGAGAGAGAGAGAGAGAGAGAGAGAGAGAGAGAGAGAGAGAGAGAGAGAGAGAGAGAGAGAGAGAGAGAGAGAGAGAGAGAGAGAGAGAGAGAGAGAGAGAGAGAGAGAGAGAGAGAGAGAGAGAGAGAGAGAGAGAGAGAGAGAGAGAGAGAGAGAGAGAGAGAGAGAGAGAGAGAGAGAGAGAGAGAGAGAGAGAGAGAGAGAGAGAGAGAGAGAGAGAGAGAGAGAGAGAGAGAGAGAGAGAGAGAGAGAGAGAGAGAGAGAGAGAGAGAGAGAGAGAGAGAGAGAGAGAGAGAGAGAGAGAGAGAGAGAGAGAGAGAGAGAGAGAGAGAGAGAGAGAGAGAGAGAGAGAGAGAGAGAGAGAGAGAGAGAGAGAGAGAGAGAGAGAGAGGAGAGAGAGAGAGAGAGAGAGAGAGAGAGAGAGAGAGAGAGAGAGAGAGAGAGAGAGAGAGAGAGAGAGAGAGAGAGAGAGAGAGAGAGAGATAAAGACCAGGGGCCATCGGTGAGGCGGGAGCTCCACGACAGGTACTGGGAGCGGGCTCGCCTTTTCCTCGTAGTGACCCATGAAGGCTGGGCGGCGGCGGTACTAGTTTCGCAAGAGACAGAGACATGGAGCGACTCGGGACTCGTCTCAGTCCGGCCGCCACCCAGCCGCCCGCCGCGCCTGGCCGGGCTGCTGCTTCGCCGGCCGGGTGGTGCGGGCGGCCCTCCCGGCTCCTGCCCGTCTGGGATGCGCTCCCCATCCGCAGGGCGTCGGCGGCGCCCAAGAGGCACAAGAATAACGGCGGTGCTGCGGGCGGCTTGTGGGGTGACGGTGCCGCGCTCCTTCCCCGGCTCCTCGCCGTCCGTCCCCCCTCCCCGGTGCCGTTTTCTTCCAGGGGAGGTGTCCCGGCCGCCGTGCCGGGGCGTAGCGCAGTCCGTGCTTTCAGCACAGCAAAATATCCACCCAGGCTAGATTAAGGTAATGACAAACTAGGATTAAGAGTGGCTACAGACTTCAGACTTTATGCAGACTTAACATTAAAATATTATATATGCAACTAAATGACACACATGGTGTTTGTTCTAACCTTCTCAACAGAAAGTGAACATGTCAGGACAGCACCACTTGGTGACCATTATACTCAAGGGGTGTAGGCACTGATCCCCCAGGGGTGAAGTGATAGGAGCACAAACATGAGTCACTTGTTAGCTCTGTGTCTTTCCTCCTGCAGGAAAAATATATGTGTGATGCCCAAGTGACTGGTAACTGCATATTATAAAGCTGGAAATATTGTACAAAGTTATGACAATACAAGCAAACAATGCATGTTACTGCTCTTGTTATTCCTATATGAGACCTCACAAGACACAAAAATATGCATGGTAAAAAAGGGAGCAACAATACATTTCAAATGTAGCTTGCATTAAAATGATCATGGATTTCACTACATCAAAAGTGAATGAAATTAAGTGATAATCAAAGACTCTGGAAAAGAAGATCAGCATAACCATAGATATGTAGACTACATATGTCTTGTTTCCAAAGCTAAAGTATGATCCTCAATGTTGTAAAAGTTGGTTGGCTTCTACAATAACTTTGAATAAAAAACAACATATGGTAAACACAATTCAAGGAAATGCCAAGATCCATCCAACCTTTGACATGCCCTGTTTGGAATGCTGTTAAACATGCTATGATCTTCTCAGAATACGAAAAATCAACTCAAAATATTACCTTCTTTTATTACAAATAAAATCCCATGAATTTCACTATTGTGACTGCAGAGCTCATTCAGTCAATCAGAGACCGTGCAGAGACTTCATCATTCAAACAGAGAATCAATGTGCAAAGACTAACACTGTAAAATCTACAGACTTTTCACAAACATCTTTCATGCTACAAGCTTATGCCTACTCAACACTTTTTTCATGACTCGAATATGGTGGTGTTCATTTTAAGTGAAAACATTCATCCAGCACTAAGCAGATTATTTCTAACCTCCACTAAGTCCCAATTTCTGCTATATTTCGTTTGGAGTCACTTCATAGTTTGAATTCAAGGTGCCTTGTGGATTTACCCCAGTTATGTAGGTAAATACACAAGGATTTATCGACTTCACCTCAATTATGTAGCTGCTCCCTTAATTTAAGTTTCTCGTGAAATTTCATTGAGGCGTTGCAAGATGGGCTGTAGCCAAATTCTCTTTCCTGTTTAGCTGATGCTCATAATACCTCAACATTTTTCATTCCAATTTTTGTAGTTGTTAAAAATTGATGAAGACCCATCTACCTAGACAACAATGACGTTACAGAGGAAATCCCTGGCTGTGTTTCACCGGCGTGCTACCAGCCGCTGCCAGCGCATTCCGTGAGCTAGCGTCAACCTCTGGTAGTGTCGGAGGCATAGGCTTGTTGATGTCTCTATGTAAGCCAAAAATGGCTGGCAGAGTGCCGCGAAACACCACCCTTATTTTTGCACAAAAATGGTGTGATAACTGTTCCTGCAAGAACACATAAGGTGAAATGAAGTAAAATCAGGTCAAACATTAATATATAACCAAAAGAGGCAGTGTATGGAGTACCTATGTTCACATTACCATATGATGCACAACAGGCCATAGAAAAACCGGTGAATGTTGAATTGTAACCCAATTTCAATATCAGTAGGCGGAACTATGGTCAAGCGTACCCATTTTCGGGAACGCATTTTCGTTCCCATGTTTGGGAACGATAAACCCAAATATGGGAACGCCATGTAGGCATTATTTAAAACAAGAAAAAGAACCGTTAAATGACGTCCAAAAAATATAAAACGATCGTGAACCGCCTGATATTTGTCTCAATATTGTTGGGAAAGAGTTTGATATTGTAAGGCCCATCGTAGTTTCAAATCGTTCCCCTATTTCTAAAGCAGTCCATCATCCGGGCCGCGAGCCCAAATTTGGGAACGCTCTCGTACACTGGCGCTGCAAGCGTTCCTTATTATGGGAACGGCGTACCCAAAATTGGGAACGATTTCACCGACGCCTTTCAGGGGCTCTTTTCATTAACAAGCATCACGTCCAACGCCGCAAATTATTGTTAACGCAACAATCATCAGATGACCTTTCCGGCAAGACCGTCGCATGTTTCGCCCGGTCTTCTGCGCTTTTATTCCCGTCGATCTCGCAGCGGGCACGCCCCCCTCTGCAGGATTTCGTAATTCACAACGCTCAGCGATGTTCAACAAGGTCTTCCATACCTATATCCACCGTCCGCGCTGAGGGTGGAGACATGTCAAGCACCTGTCTGTTTATCACCGATAGTTGACGAGTACAAGGAAGTATCTAAAAATGGGAACGCTGAATATGTTACACCCTCAAAACACCTAGTCCCAATGAAAATCTAGTTTTTTCCTTTCTTGATGAGTGTAAGTGGCAAAAGGCCTGGTAGGATGAGCACGAGGAATTATCGAAATCAGCATAAAAATTATAAATAAGCCACACAGAGCGAGCTATATAAGAGAAATTCCCCCAAAACGATCACGCTTAGAAACACGGAAGACAAAACCACGCTCATGACGCTCCTTATAAAACAACTCTAAACAGCTAGCATCCAAATAAAATATGTCTTTCCGGGATGATAAAATACAGCTGGATAATTTTCAACCGCTTAAACTGAGTTTACAACAGTAGCTCGGTAAATTCACTCACGTTCCACGCGGTCGTCCGCCCCGACACAAAAGTCAACAATATTACCTCGGGACCGTCCGCGTCTTCGCTTGCATTTGTCAGCATCTGGTGTCGATAGTATGAAAGTTCATAACCAGGCGAAAATTATTATACTTTACCTCAAACTAAAAAATGCTTCATTTTCCTTAAAATTGCATGTTAAATGTCGTATAACCCATATTTCCACCATTCTGTCATTTTCAAAAAATCATTAAAAATATCATTCCACGGTCAATTTCCTTGTTCCACGGTCAGATTAAAGATAACTTTATGGAGATTTAGTAGACACTTAAATCAGCGTGCACTTTTTTGAGACGTGATGCACTTTTGAGTTTTAGTGGGAGAACGGCCGAAAAATTGCCTTCCGTTCTCATAAATGGGAACGCCCGTTCCCATATTTGGGAACTCCGTTCCCAAAAATGGGAACGTTCCTATATTTGGGTACTCATGACCATAGTTCCGCCTACTGATATCAACATGGCACTTGGCATTGACAATAAAACACACCGTTTTTTGATGTTAAATCAACAGAAAAAAAACTCCTGAACATAAACAAAATGATCAGAATAAATAATAAGGATAATAGTATAAATAAAAATCGACGAATCGACCTATCATCGCCCCTACACATTCACCACTCCCAATCCCCATTCCACGCACAGATTGTTTACCTCTTGGTTTACCCCGTGTTTGCAGTCTCCCGGACGACGAAGATTCTATACACCGTTCGACCAATCACGTTTAAGATCAGCGGGGCTTGGCCGCGGTTCTCGAACGCCATTGGCCAGATTACGCAGAATCTTCGTCGTCAGGAAAACTGTGAACACGGGGCTACATTTTTCGCTACGGTAACAAAAGCGCCAGAATTGACTACCAGAATTGGATCCGAAGGTCAAATGGGTCACGTGACTGTGCAGTTCAGATGGACAACACCTGGCTTTTTCCACACTCTGAAGCAAAAAAACTTGGCTGCATGCTTATAGATGTAACCATAGATGTAACTATTGACAATTTTTCTTATCTAACACTCACACCACGTACGATACACCACCCACTGACTGGTTGGTGAATCTAGAAGTAGGTACCATTGAATAGGATCTGGGAGCTGAGACGGTACATACAGGGCGTCCCAAAATTAATGTCAGAACCTTCCACAACTTTCATTTTGCCTTCTACGGCGCAATACCAATAGAATTTCGCCGGTAACGGCTCCCAAACCATATTGGTTACATTCTAGTCACGTGACCTTCGAATTTTTGTGACCCTGACCGGTCACGAAGGTCTTTTCCAGGGCAGTACCCGGCGCGCACGTACCAGGTGTCAAGGATGGCAAAGCCTCAGCGCAAATCGACCCGCAGCAGGGCAGTAGGCATGGTTGCCGGCGGCATGACCCACGGTCAGGTCGCCGACGCCGAGTCACTGGGCGTGAGTCGCCGCACGATTTGGCGCTGGCTATCACGCGACAGAGGCGGATAGACGCTTGAGAGCAAGCTGGGTCGCGGCAGGAAGACTTCCGTCGGCCGGGTATAGCGCAAATAGTCATCGCAAAGCACGGTGCTAAAGACGGGCCAATCGGCTCATGGAAACTGGCAAGAAGGCTGACTGCCAACGGTCATCTAGTATCCAAGTCAACAGTCCATCGATACCTGAGGTTGCCTCTAAACCTGAAGCCCACCAAGCCACGTCTCTAGCCGAAAACTTCTGCTGAACATGTCCAGGGCCATCTTTCAACAGGACGGTACCCCAGCTCATCAAGCTAGAACGACGCAGGATCAATGTCGATCATCTTCCCGGCATTATGGGAGAAGGACAAATTGTCAGGGATTAGCCAAGACCTATCGCCGATAGAAAAGCTCGGGGCGATCGTCCGGTGAGAGGTGAACAAAATGGCACGGCCGAACATTCGACGGCACGCTGACCGGAACGTTCGATCTGCCTGTTCCAGGATCAGTCCGTACAAGCTGGACAAGTTGAAGTCTGGCGTGCCGGACCGTATTCTTGTTTGTATCAGGGAGAAGGGGTAATACATATGTAAAAAAGCGAAACCCTCATGTTTGTTATTTTCATGCAATGGGCGCGAAGGGTTGACATTATTTTTGGGACATACCTAATATTCCCTATTTCCAGTGAACTACTCTGCTTTCACTTGCTAATGCATGCTGCTAAGCAAGAAAAGACTGCCCTCGGGGAAAAATGTTCAGCTTCATCAAATAAACACGGATTCTCGATCATGCGACAGAAGCAACTACTCAAAAGCCCCCCCCCCTTCCCGTTTAGATTGACCAAAGACTAGATGAATGGATTGGACCAATCGGTCCATGATTGGCAAGTGGCAACCCAATGAAAATGTGTCTCAGGTGCCCGAATGTATAGATAGCCCACTGCATAAATGGCATGAGCCTGCGTATTGAGCATAACACTACAATATGCAAAAAGAAGGCAGTCATTTGAACGTCTCCAGGGGCGTATAGGTGGCAATGAAGCTACACTACATGCCTCCCTCGAGTGCCGTCCATGCGGCATCGGAGAAACAACGTCACTTCGCGAAAATGCGACAACTGATAGGTACCGTTCCGTTTGATAACTATTGGAATTTGGATGAATACATTTCATGATAATGGAGGTAATAGTGTCCCTATCAGAGGATGTGATCTTATTCATCGTTGGTTCAACGTTGGCTTACACCTTTATGTACGACTCGAGGGCTTATACAGCTATTTCAAATATTTATACATTTCTGGAACGTTTTACCTATGTAACTAGCAAAACAATGATCTAGCATTTAGCCTGCCCATATTGATGGCTGGAATTCTCTTATCACATCCCGTTCCATTTTGACCCGATATTAGCCATATACGAGGATGCAATATCACTTGATCGGTGGTCACAGATCATGCCCATCGATCGATGCAAACGTCTCCCAAAGCACCGTCTCCGCTCTACCTATTCACGATGGGCCACATTCGTGCCACTGTCGGCCACATTTGCGCCACTGTCGACGCCGCATTTTTGGTCGATATCGATCGGCGTTCAGGTGTGAACAGTCTGTTGGATTGTCGGCTGCGTCTGCGGTGCTGACGCGCCGCTGTCCTCACCGCTGCCACAGCTGTGGGGAAGTCGAGAGACCTGCGGCCAGCCAGTGGGAGCTCGGAGCTTGTGACGGCGACAGAGTGGTGAAAGATCGAAGAACGACGAGAGAAAAAGAGGAATAACGACACGGTGTGAGAAAAAAGGCGAAGATCATGTAGACTTTGGCGTTGTGGTGGTATCGTGGAGGTACACGTGAGAAGTGGAATAAGTATAGGCGAAAATATTTTTGCTTTATGTGCCAGCCTTAACCCTCGCCCGCACATGGGGGGGGGGTGGTTGCCACCCCCCCCAGGCAGTCTTTCTGCTCTGCACTCAACATTTTTAGAGCTAGAAGGCTGATTTTTCGTATAGCTGCTCGTCTGTCCTTTCTTGATGTCCACTGAAAATTTCAAGTTTCTGTGATTTTTGGTTTCGGAGATATGACCTTGTTTTTCAGGTCATGTCATGACCCAAATGGCCAATTCTCAACATCTTGCGTTTGCCATGGGCCTTGTGAGCTTTTGACACCCTGATTTCGGCCTTTTTTGCCAGTCTTACCTCCCACCTATCATGGAACATGTTGTTCGACGATGTACAGGGGTCAAGGTCAGGGTCAAGGTCAACCTAGGTCATCTAAGATAATTGCGTTTTAGGCAAGCTGAATTTACTTTTTGTGAAGTTTTTTGACTGCATTTTTGGTAAAAGCTTCTCAGATCATGATTTCATGTGATATGGACCCAAAAACAATCGGTGCACACATCAGTATACACACAGACACACACAGACATACAAACACATATAATTGACCTTGACCTAACTTGACCTGAAATGACCTCAGCAGCAAAATTCTGGTCGGATAGTGTGACAAAGAGGTTCTAGCTGGCTTGGCACCAGAAAACAGCATCGTCATCGGTATTTGATAAGCAGCGCACTTGATATCCAACGGTGACCCAAAACAGCAACATTTTTTAGTTTGACCTGACCTGGAAGGTCAATGACTGACCTGAGAAGGTAAAACTGGGTATCATTGGATTCGTCTCTTCCCAAAGAATCTTTTTGGTCTTTACTGCTAAGCTCTATCTCCAACAGGAACGAAATGGCGCGGGGGGGGGGTGGCAACCACCCCCCCCCCCCCATGTGCGTTCTAGGATGGGAAAATGGCATGTGCGGGCGAGGGTTAACCAGCAGTGTTTAAGACGGTGTCTAAAGAGCATCTTCTTCCGCTGTTGCTCATGCTGATGATTCGAGAGACATTTTCAACGGATCAGCATGCCGCATTACATTACCAAATGCCAAGACGATGGTGACTTCATGATGTGCAGCACGGCAGGTTGACCTCTGCAACTGAACTTCCTGAAATCAGCTACCCATCACACCATGGAGGGACTTGGAACACGACTATCGGAGCTTGGGTACAAAATAACGCGAAAACGGCCGGTTATTGCGAAAACTTCACGCGAGGATCCGTTACTGAAAAGGAATCTTACAACTTTCGACCTCACCCTACTTGGTAAGGTACTTGCTGCTCTCGTTATTACGATGAGGGGTCTATAATCCGCACAATTCAATAATGGGTTAACAGCAATGGGCATTCTTTTATTATCCTGCCTGCTACACATACAACTTAGGCGTGCCATTTACTCCACGCAATAAGTTTGCTGGACGCCCGGGCTCACAGGCCCAGTAACCCATTCACCCACTCGGGCACAATGTCTCTAAAAATGTACATTTTTTTGATTTATGAAACTCAAATTATGTGTTTGGCACGCCTCGTCACCGTGCTATTCGCCACAAAACACTTCGGAGTTGCCAAAGCAATGCGGTACAGCATAACTTCAGGCGTTTTACCGCGCAACCACCTGGCGGAGAGCCTGTATTTCCTAGTTACAGTTTTGCCGATAGATGTCGCAGGCGTTAGCGCCTGGGTGGTATACTGTACCGCAAGGCAGATACTGCCGGAACGAGGCAGTTGGGTGGTCGAACGCTGAGCTCAAACGCTCAGTGCATGTAAATTAGGTCGACCTTGGCGCGCCATGAAAGGTGTATGGAATCGTCGTGTCAAAGTTATTGGAAATGCATCCTGAACTGGGCCAAATTATTCCCTCTATCAAGTGATCCCGCATCCAAATTCCTGTCATTAACAACATTGTCGTCGGATTTTTATTCAGTCTACCACCCGTCTTTCGAATCCTAAGACGCTCAGTCACATTTTGCCCGTGTTTTCGGTCAGATCTGGCGGTCGCCTCATTCGGGCATCGATAAAGGGAAAATCAGAAAAGCTTCTCTGCCACGAAAGGTGGCCCACTGACTTAGGGACAACGGTACATTTCTAACCCAAAGCGAGATGGATTCAGTCACTGGGGCGCAACTTATAAAATTAGCCATGGCAAGCAAGCTGATGAGCGTTTCTGAGTATGAGAAGAACAGGTTTAGAGTAGGTTTCTAATCTATGAGAAGAACAGGTATGAAAAGTTACATTATGCCGCAGTCCACAGTCCACAACTAACCTTACTTATGTACATCGCATGCATGATATGGCACCCTTAGGGCCAGGGATTCCATATCTACTAATTCAAATACATGAGCAGCTTGTCCACTTGTAGAGTTAAAATATGCTCAGCCCACTCTTCCACCCCTCAGGCGTCGGCCACATGATCGGCACGGGAATGTACGTCCTCACGGGCACTGTAACCCGCGACGTCGCCGGGCCGAGCATCATCATCTCCTTCCTAGTGGCCGCTTCGGTGGCGCTGCTGGCCGCCCTCTGCTTCGCCGAGTTCGCCTCGCGAGTCCCCCGCTGCGGCAGCACCTACGTCTACTCATACATCACGCTAGGAGAGCTGCCAGCGTTCGTCGTCGGCTGGAATATGGTGCTCGAGCAGTTGATCGGTGAGAGGAGGGAGGGAGAGAAAGAAAGAGAGAGGGGAGGGAGAGGTGGAGAGGGGAGAGGGAGAGAGGTGATTTTACGCACATATCGTATGGTCACAAATTTTAACACCTTCACGGTACTCAAGAAAAAAAGTCATTTCATTTTATCACTGGTATTTCGGCGTTTTCCCATTATTTTTCCTCTCAGATTGATTTAAAGGCATTTTTGAACGGTAGCCATCAAAACCACCCATGATCATTCCAGGCACAGCCGCAGCGGCCCGCGCCTGGAGTGGCTATGTGGACAGCCTGGCCCGCGGCGCCATCCACAACGCCACGTCCGGCAGTTTGTCCGGCAGTGGCTCCCACCACGCCGAGTGGGCCGACCAGCTGGACTTCCTGGCCGCCGGCGTGGTCATCCTGGTCACCCTGCTGCAGGCCATCGGGGCCAGGTGCTCCAGTACGTGAACTATCCATTGACAGCCTTTTTTGTGTATGATATCACGCATTTTGTATATGCTTGCTTATGCATTGTCATTATAACTATTTACGTTATAATGTCTTGCTGTTGTTCGTAGTCGTAAAATGTGAATAAAATAGTGTTTCCCACCACTTGACAGAAGTAGAATTTTATGTAAATACGTTGCTATTTCCCCAGCTCCAGCTGAGTGATATGATGATGAGTGATGACCATAGTAAGTCATTACGTTCAGGAAAACAACCTTGTCGATCCCATTTCATTTCATATGCGCCTTCCCCATTCCAGCCAACATCTGCAGTCTGTTCTCACTGGTGAACGTCGCTGTCATTTTGTTCGTGTCCACGTACGGCCTGTGGTTCGCCAGCCTCTCTAACTGGAACGACTTCACTCCGTACGGCGTGTCCGGCCTGCTCTCCGGAGCCAGCAGCTGCTTCTTCGCCTTCGCCGGCCTGGACAGCATGGCCATCGCTGCTGAGGAGGCCAAAGATCCTGGTTGGTCCCGCCTGGCTTTGTTATAGCCTGAATAATATTATTTGCTGTAAAAACATACAAACGTTTGATAAAAGTTTCTTTTCTTTTTTCAGTAATGGTGGCCGTAATTTGAGTTGTGATCGGTTTTTAGCGGTTATGGTCGATAGATATGTACACGAGAAAAATATTTGATATAATGACTTCAATCGAATGTATTTGTTGATGCGGTTATTAAAACAGTCTGTTTCATCAATTGGTAGATTAAAATCTGCCCGTCTCTTACAGGTTATTCGGTCCCACGAGCGGCGTTCTACGCGCTGGGCATCGTGACCTTCGGCTACGTGGCTCTCTCGGTGGCTCTAACGCTGATGGTTCCGTTCAACTTGGTCAGCGTCAGGGCCGCGCTCACCGCCGCCTTCGCCTTCCACAACGTAGGTGTCAACTTCCACGATAGGCTGGGCAGCGGATTTTTTCCGATCAATCGCTAATAAAATAAAGCGCGGTAATCACCTTGAAAAAGTAAAAATTCAGTGAAGTAGCCTGGCTATTCACTTGCGATCATTCCAAGGATAAATATGTCTCCTTGCATCAGCTCAGGTGACCGTTTTAAATACGTTTCTCCTCCTTTTGCCGAAGCGACAATTTAGCTCTGTAATCTGTACTTCACAGGTGGGTTGGGCGCAGTACCTGCTCTCAGTGCTATCGCTCTCCGGTCTGGGCGGTGTACTCTTCGCCCACATGTACTCCCTACCGCGGTACATGTGTATCATGGCGACAGACGGACTGGTCTTCCGATTCTTCGGCAGAGTCAGCAATCGAAACCAGGTAAACGGTCAGCGGATGTAAAATGAACTAACCTATAAAGTACTTTTAACCCGCGCACCGACGGGGGTCTGCGCCAACTTCGCACCGACGGGGGGGGGGCGGATGACCGCCCCCCCTGAGATCTCGAGAACGAAGCGAAAAAGCGACAAGCGGTAAACGGCATCGGATACGCACGGTCAAGATCTACAATTTTTACAACGGTCATTTTCAGGTCAGGTCAAAGATGACGTCACAGGGGTCGAAAAAGTCAAAATGGCGGCGCCAGATATGGAGAGAGTTTTTCTCGACTAACTTTCGAATTAGTCAAGATAGGAACAAACTAAGGGCATCATCGTGATCCTCTCGTCAATCCGCATCGAATGATATATATGTTGACCTAGAAAGGTCAAGGTCAAAGGTTGACCGCAGGTCACGTGACCTCGAGGTCATCATGTATATCATTCGATGCGTCTTGACGAGCTGAACACAATGAGACCATCCACGTGGCTGTATCTTGTTCCTGTACGGAGTTATTGGCCAAAAACCTTTGGTGACCTTTGATGACGTCACATGACCTCACAGCTGTCCAACAGCAAAACAGACCTCAAGGTAGTGTCGGTTGATCGTATATGAAGTCATGTATGGTATATGTGGCCATTCCGACCCGTTTTAGTGGTAAAAACAGGGAGTTGATTTTTCCCCCATTGACTTATAATGGGGAGGTCGCGAAATTGACCTGACCTTAGGTCACCGATATCAAAATTCCGAGATATACAAATTGTAGCTACTAATGGCCTTATAACATCCTGCGACTTTCAAAGGCCTCCGACATCTACTGTAGCTCTGGCACGGTGACAAAGTTGCAAAAAAGTGACTTGAGGTTGGGTCATTCAAAGTGACCTGGTGACCTGACCTTAAAAGGTAGGAGGTTCAAACTTGCACACCATGTGTAAAATTAATGAGGGAATAGTCATACCAAATTTTGCGGCGCTACGCGCCGCGGTTTTCCCGCTATTCGCGAAAAACCTCAGGGGGGGGCGGATATCCGCCCCCCGTCGGTGCGCGGGTTAATACGATTGTCAGCTATGGCCCAGAAATGTCAGCTCTGTATTACATATGAAATGCCGGTACTATAAATATAGCAGAACTTTAATCGATCATAAATTTTGTAGTTTCATTAGCAAGAAAAAACATCGATCATAACCATATGCTATATGCAGAATGCAAAACAAATTATATGCTTTCCTAAGCTGCTTTATTGTAATTAACTTCGAATGTATTTGAGCATTGGCACCGTTTCACCAAGGACATGACTCGGGCCTGCAACTGCAATATCAGGTTGAAGAATGGTATTCGTTCAAGCTCATATCCACACTGTATGTCTTCGCCTGCCTCAGGTACCCGTCCTGAACACGTTCCTGCTCGGCGGCGTAGCAGCCTTCCTAGCGCTGTCTATGGACATCGCACGCCTCGTAGATTACCTGGCCATGGGCACGCTGGTCGGATACAGCATGGTCGCTCTGGCGGTGCTTCATCTTCGCTATCGGGCCACTCTTCTCAACAGCGACGGCACGGAGGTAAGATGTTGAAATTGAAAGTTGGATGGATTGAAGACAATCAGTTAGAGCAACGTAGAGCTTACCTAGCATCTTAGTTTGACAATATCAGATATGTTAGATCAATAGCCTGATGACCATAGACCCGGGAACAGGGGGGGCAGCGGGGGCGCTTGCCCCCCCCCCCCAACTTGGGAGCCGAGGGGGCGGCGCCCCCTCAACATTGAGGCAGCGAGAAAAGGTCTTTCCTCCCTTTTCCGGACTTCTTTCCTTCTTGTTTCCTTTATACATCTAAACATTAACACTCGGCATTTTCCTTGCCATCTGAATGGTTTCTGCTGATACAGTAACGATTTGACATCTGCTATTGTCATCCCGCTTTGATTTGGGCCTGACCGTGGCCATAAGCTTGGCAGACCAGTTTTATACTGGACCATTTTGAGTCAACTGTGAGAAATGCATAACGTACAACGGTGGTAAAATCGTTGCTATAGGTACTCGTATAACACAGTTTACCCCTCCGGGTGTGAGGGAGGGGTGTGGGCCGGGCAATGAGTGCACTGACGTGGCGCCCTCGGTATGGGATGGGATGCATGGGATACATTAGAGGGCCGGTATGGGATTAAAGCTCAGCGACACTTAGGGCTTATGTGGTGCCTTCCGTTATCGGCAGCACCCTCAGAATCACCGGCCTAGGGCCCTCAGAGCCGCCGGTAAGGGGCCTTTAGAGGCACCGGTGTGGGGCCGTTATGCAGGTGCCGGTGTGGGCGCTCAGAGGTGCTAGTGTGATTCTCTCAGAGGCGCCGATGAGGGTCCTTACAGGCGTTGCTGTGGGCCCTCATAGAAGCTGGTGTGGAGCCGTTACAGACGGGTGTGGGGGCTTTAAAGCTGCTGACGCGAACTCTCTACAAGCCGGCAGGGGGTCTCAGTGACCGGCAAGGGGTCCTTAGGCCGGTAGAAGAAGTCCTGTGGGGTCCTTAGAGACCGGCATGGTATATACTGTCAGACGCCGGTGGGGCCCTCAGACTCACCGGTGTGGGACCCTCAAAAGTCACCAGTGGGTGGCCTTCAGATGCACAGGTGTTGGTTGGGTCCTCAGAGCCGCCGATACAGGGCTTAATTTTAATAGGCACTGGTGTAGGCACTCAGAGTTGGGGGTGTGAAACCCTCAGAGACACCGGTGTGGGCCCTCATAGGCGCCGATGAGGGCCCATAGTTGCCGTTATGGGGCCCTCAGAAAAATAAGTGTGGGACCATCACAGGCGGGAAATGCCTCTAGAACTGGCCCCTCATAGGCCGGTAAGGACTCTCAGAGGCCAGTAACGGGCCTTTGGACTTTGGAGACCACCGAGGTGCCCTGAAAAGGCGCAAGAGGCGCTCAGAAGCCGGCGTGGGGCCCTTATGGAGATCTTAGTGTGGCTATTTAGGGCCCATGAGGTGCTCTAACGAGCCCCATGGGGCGGTCAGCGGTTTGACCTTCAGCGGTCAAATGGCGCCGCAGAGCCACTCGGACCCGAAGGTCCCTTTGAACCGGTGGGGGGGGGGGGGGGTACGTGTTCCCCTAGACCCCTAGCTACGCCACTGTTTCATATGCATCATGTCAGGTATTTTAGGCTCGCCCCCCCAACTTGAAAATCGTTCCCGGGACCCTGCTGATGACGATGAAAAGGTGCCAGGGAATCAACGTAAACTGACAATGCATCCAGTATCAACCTAAGTTTGGTCTCAATGACTTGGTTGACCTACTGATTTACCGACTAACTCTGAAACTAACTACCTTTTTCCATCCTCAGACCACAGACTGTATCGGAGGCGAGCTCAAGGAGAGCTGCCACTTTCTGGACCCGTTCATCGCCCGGCTGCCGTACGGCGCCGTGCCCACCAGCGCCATCTATGCGTTCACGGCAGCCAGTTTTCTGCTGAGTTACTTGGTGGCGCATACGTCGGACTCGGCCAGCGCAGCTGGGGTCATCGTCATACTGCTGCTCAGCATTGTCCTGGCCTGCTGTAAGGGAATAACGAGATAATGCATGATCTATGCATGATCATCATTGCAAAAACATATATTTGCTAACTCTTGAACTGCATATCAGGTACACAAATGCATACAAGAAAGCAAATAACGTCGTTCGGGTGTTATATGCAACATGTGTTGCTCGACAGTAACAAAGGGCGCATAGTAGCTCATTAGAATTATTAAGACAATTATGCATGATATTAGACAGCCCTAAAAGGTATTGTTCATGGAGCTCATATAACCAATTCTAATATCGTTCGTCGTTGCAGGTCTCGCGACGTTACTGGCGTTTGAGCAGACGGTGCCCCACTCGTTCGCGGTGCCGTTCTGTCCGATGGTGCCGCTGCTGGCCATCTGGCTGAACATGCTGCTGCTGACGTTCCTCCGACCCAGCACCTTCCTCGGGTTCTTCATCTGGATGTTACTGGGTACGTCTGTGGGACGGGCTGTAAAACAGAGAGAGATATAGTCGAAACCATCTAGTGGAAAAGCGCAGCTGTTTATCAAAATGAATCGTAATTTTAGGATGAATGTTTCATTGGTATGTACGTAATACGTATGTATATACCTACATCATTTTTCATGGATTGCTCACTTTTTACGGCCTTCGATGCATGCTTGATTTCATGCTTTTCATGCTTTTCATGATTTCATTCACTTTTCATGCTTGATTGTTGTTTTTAATTGTGCAATTATTTTTCGAGTAAGCCCAGTCATGTCTCACGAAAAACCGCCGACATCCGTTACTTAGCATGTTCTGTTTTATTCTTTTCTGCAGGATTGTTGACCTACTTCAGCTACGGCCTGCGCCACAGCACGGTGGATGAGGCGTGGCGTGTTCGACCCCTCTCCGAGACGGACTCTATACCTCAGTGGTACGGTACCGCTCCGCCGGGTACCACTCCGAACCCGTGCGGTTTGTCAGCGCCATCTGTACCCGAGTACCCGCCGAGTACACCCGAGTTCCGTCCGGGTACCCTGGAGTACTGTCCCGAAACTCCAGACAGCCAGCGGTACCCTCTGGAGGGAAAGCACTCACGAAGGGACAGCAGATACAGTCAGTTTTCTACAGGAAAGCAGTGGGACACCTCGTCGTTGGGATCGACGCAGAGTAGAATGGATATTGGAATAGATGATAGTCTACCAAGAGCTGGCGACAAGTGGAGGGTGCCTCCCCGAAGTCGCACACCAAGTCCCTCCGCGGAGTCCTGGCGATTGCCTAACTCGAGTGTGATTCCAAACCCGACACCGAGTCCACTGCCGACTCTGAGTCCGAGTCCAGCACAGAGTCCAAACCCGAGTCCAATCCCTAGTCCAGTTCCGAGTCCCAGTGCGAGTCCAAAGCCGATTCGGAGTCAGAGGGCGGCACAGAGCGGGGCGGAAACGCCCGACATCCGGCGGAAGGAGTCGGATGTTCGACCTGAGCTGAGGCGGCAGAGCGTTACGGACACAGAAAGCCTTCCAAGCCTGCAGTATGACGAAATGTACCGCACCGCCTACTAAGTCCAGTCGCTTCTTTGGAATGGTTTGAGAGCTGATTAAAAGCAGTGTTTTGACAAACTTTTGAAGGGCGGATTACCGACGTGATGCCTCTAACTCGGCTTGGTTAGGGTAAGCCAGAAGTAAGTTGTGTGCATATTGGGTTTATTACAGTCTAACTTTTATTTTTTCGATCGTCTTGAGTGTTTTCGTAGTGTCCGCTGAGCATTCAGTGTTTAGAGTGTTCGGTAAACGATGTAAGTATGCCTCGAATATAGTGTGTTACGTGAAGTGTCATTCAATACATAGAAAGTTTGTCAATTTATTTTAAAAAAGATAAAAAAGATTGCTTGAAAAAAATTGTTTGTTGCTAGTTAGATACCCTCGCTTTGACCTTATTTGCAATGGAACGGCAATCGAGTGGCTCGCAGTTGCACGAATAAACGAGGGTCATGCCAGTGTGATAATCAATACGCACCATTACCGCTACTCCATTCATCAACTAGCACACCTGTTTATTCTTGGTTTATTCATGTCGGTTGTTATGGTAACGATTCAACATTTACGGTAGATATTATCAAGTAACCAGGGCGACGGGAGCGCTGGGTAAAAAGAAACAGAAACCCACTTTAGTTGTTGTAGGCTGTATGTCATGCAACATTAGAGGCACAAATAGAGTTGCAATTATCTGTAAAATGCATGGAAAACTTTTTTTAATGGATAAATATGCTTGTGTTGTCAAATCATTTAATCAAAGAATTATTATTGCACAGTGACTGTCTTTGTAACGAATCTTTCTGAGATGCCCACAGGCCACCAAGGGCTAAACGGGACATTTTGGTCACCGCTTTAGAACGTATGCTACACTTCTTTTTTAGATAGGTACATACGATTATTAGAAAGATGAAGAATAATAAATAGGTACATACGTTTGACTCTTGGCCCGCTTATCGGCAGCTTTTGCAGCCAGTCAACCAATGTTAGTCTGCCAACTGAATATCTGATCCACCGCATTCAAAAATTTGTTTGTGCTGATAATCAAACAGTTGAGTTTGATTATCTATTTTTTTTTGTTTTTTTTTCTTTTTTTTGTCATATGTTTATTACATATATCCGAGAACACGGGTTACGAAATTGTCACACCGGTGTCCCCCAAACACGAACATACAGACATACACCATGTGAGACACAGCCTTCCACGCTTAGTCCCCTGTACAGCTGGCAAGACGGGAGATAAGTAGCGGCATCGAGCACGGCAAACAACCCCCTCAACCCCACATGAGCATCAACATAACGTTGCGGTGTGCACCCGCCACATTTCATCTGCATTTTGACTGGGCGGCGGCCGAGCTATAAAAGTATAGCTCGTCACCACTCACCACCACGCGACGTGGTGTGGCCCGCCTGCCATCAGCCACCGTGGGCCATCAGCCACCGCCCGCGCCGCCCGGCGAAGGGGTATCGCGGGCGGCGCCCCCTATCCACCGGCCGGGCGTGCGAGCCGTCGACTTGTAGGGCCGGCGCCCCGCACGCCCGGCCGGCCGACCGGCCCTAGTCAAAGAGGCCGGTCCCGGGTTGGCCCGGATGGGTCATGGGAGCGGTGGCTGATTTTTGTTTGTACCTAGGACAGGAATCCCACTACATACACTCCTCCCCCTTCCAATCCTGAGCCCACGTCTGTCCATTGCACAATCAAGTACTACTCGTACACAAGGCTTCCCACAGTAACCCAAAAGTTTCATCGAACCTTTTTCTTCCCCCTCTGCGTGCTACGATGCATTTCTCAACTGATATATACTTTGCAAGATACAAAGAAAACCGCTGTACGCTTTGCTCTTCACCAGACCATCGACATTGCCATATAAACTGTTTTCCTAATAGTACACACACGCGTAAGGGGGCTGCCGTCCATTTTCCTTTTCCAGTTACGTTACCTAAAAAGATATCTTCTGGTGTGAAATTTTTCGGTAAAACAAGCGTATGTTTCAGTCTCATCCAAAATCTCTTTGCGTCTTTACAACCCCAAAAAACATGATATATATCCTCGTTGGGCTCAAAGCAACGATCACACATGCTAGACTCTTTTATTTTCATCCAATTAAGTACTCTATTGGTAGGCAATATTCGATGCAGGATACGCAGTTGCAACCATTTCAGTTTAAAATCTTGTGTACTTTTATATAGTATCTTAAAGACTGATGGCCAAGAGCTTTGCACTCCTTGCAGTTCCTGCTCCCATTTGGTTTGTGCTTTGCGAGGACAAGACAGCTTATTTGATTTCATAAGTGCGGAATATGCCCACTTTGCTACCTTTATAGTTTCCTGTAAAGTAACGTATATCTCCGGCCTTACTTCTCTCACCCTCGGTCTTTTCTCACGCAGTATTTGTTTCCATTCCTTTGGGATTACTTTTAACCCTCGCCCGTATTGGTGTTTTTCCAGCCGCGAACGTATAAGGGGGGGGGGGGGGTCCGTTGGACCCCCCCCCTTGCCGTTTCGCCCCTGATCGAGCTAGAGCTTCGCGGAAAAAACGAGCGTGTTGCCCGTGACGAGAGGAAGCCGATGATACCCAATTTTCAGGTCCTAGGTCATTGGTTGACCTTGCAGGTCAGGTCAATGACCCAAAAGTCGGGAAAATCGGGACCTGTTAGAACGTCGTAAAGTGTGGCTGCTATGGGGTTTTTCGGGGTGCTGATCACGAATATCATGTTAGTTTTGATCACAGATGATGTCTTCATGCATTTAGGCCGGGTCGGGTCAGGTCAGGTCAGGTCAACCAGTAAGGGTGTTCGTAGTAGGTGGCAACCGCCTCTGACAGCTTCGTAACATGTTACGAAGGCACCAAAACTACTTCGTAAATGTTCATATGGTTGCTAAATTCGAATTCAGCTCTAAAAACTGGCCTAGAAACATGTAAAACTCGAAAAAGTGAACCGAGGTCATCAAAGGTCAATGACCTGACCTGACCTTCAGGTGACCTTGACAACCACCCTAATGCATGGGGGCAACATCATATCACATGTTTGAACGCTTGAAACCACGAAAAGACTGCAAACGCGCGGCTAATGCGAGCCGACATACGCCGAATCGCGATTCCGGCCAAACATGGTCTCGAAAAGTAGGTCACAGGTCAAAGGTCATTTGGGTCAGGGTCATGAAATTTTCAGGGTAGGTGTAAAATTGATGAACGCGAGGGTACTGAAAGTTTCGTCACGATCGGCCGCTTTTTACGCGAGTTATTCGCGAAAAACCATGGGGGGGTCCGTTCGACCCCCCCCTATACGGGCGAGGGTTAAGATTCTATGCCACAAAAGGAAGTTCCCAATGCCATATTTTTCTGTCAGTTGATCGGGTGGCATCAGCCTGCCTGCATTTCTATCGTAAATGTCGTTAATACGTAGCACACCACTATTTTGAAGCTTCTTTTTCGGTATTCCAACCATGTCGTCCAAATTCAAATATCTATTGTGCCACAAAGACTCATACAATACTAATCCGTCTGTTTTGTCCTCTTCTTCAACCATTGTTTGCCAAGCTAGATAAATCTCCCTCCAGAATTTGTCCGGGAACTTGCATTCGACCTCCCTTTTGGATAGCTTACATTCAAATATTGAAAGATTTCCTCCTATTAGGAGTTTGTTTTGCACTACAAATTTCCACTTAGCGTGATTATTTTCATCCAAAAATTTTTTGATCCACATTATTTTCAGGCTGTCCGCTTGCGCTGATGGATCAGGAACCTGCAGCCCTCCCTCACCATAATGGTTTTTCATCGTGGTCCTTTTGATTCTATCTATTTTCCCATTCCATATGAAGTTGAACATTAGACACTCCAGTTCTTTCAGCATCCTCTTACTAGGTTTTTCTAACACCGACATATGATAAACGAGTTGGGACAGCGCCATTGATTTGATTAAGTGAATTCTACCAAAAGGCGTTAATCCACGTTTTATCCATGGGTTTAATAAATTTTTTAATTTAGCTATTTTGCTTGCATAATTTTCCTCTGCCATGTTCCTCATCATCGGGCCTATTTCAACTCCTAAATAGTTCACCTGTTTTGTCCAATTTAGCCATATTCTTTACATAGAATATCCTGTCTTATTTTATTTCTTCCTATCCACATGATATTCGTTTTACTTTTGTTCAGTTTTAGTCCTGACACCGTTTCAAACTCCTCACAGGTTTTCAGTGCTGCAAGTAAACTTCCTTCCGTTCCGTCTAGAATTAATGCTGTGTCATCCGCGTAAGCGGACATCTTAACTTCAAAGCCGTTTATGTGTATGCCAGCAATACTATTTCTGGCACGAACAGTTTCGCCGAAAGGTTCGATGCATATTAAAAACAGAAGACAACTCAAGGGACACCCCTGCCGCAATCCCCTTCTGATACTGTAAGGCCGAGACAGGTGTCCGTTCAAAGTTATTCGCGCCGTAACAGGATCTTGATCCGAGTCTCTGTACAACATGGATATCCAATGTTTAAATTTCGGTCCAAAGTTGAACTTATCAGTTACTTCAATCAAGTAATTCCAATTCACACTATCGTATGCCTGCTGTAAATCACAAAACATTATGAGACCTGGAATGTTTTGCTCGCTAGATTCGTTCATCAGATCTATTAAGAGTCTTACGTTTTCCCCGATATATCTTCCTTTTAAAAAATCCTGTTTGATCTTCATTGATGTGATCATTAATCATTTTGCCGAGTCTTATAGCTAATGTCTTCGTAATAAGCTTGTACAAGACATTCAAGAGACTAATAGGCCTCAGGTTCCTCACCAAGTGAGTACTTTTACCCTTTTTGGGTATTAAGGTGGTGGTACTACATGTTAACAACGATGGAGCTTTATCTATCTCTATCAATTCCTGAATTACCCCGAAAATCAATTCTTTTAATTCGTTCCAGAAAACTTTGTAAAACTCAGACGTAAAACCATCGGGACCTGGGCTAGCCCCTTCTCCCATCGTTTTCAACGTTGATTCCAGTTCCGTGATGGTTATTGGCTGTTCCCCGATCTGAATTCGGTCGTGAGGTAACGGCTTAATATTGGATAGGAAAGTTCCCGAGTTTGCCTCTGGTGATACTCGGCATGGCGCGTACAGTTTTTCAAAGAAAACAACGCACTCCTCCAGCATGTCCTCAATGTTACTGGATATTTTACCGGGAGCGGTATTTTCTAATTCTAAGGCCATGTATGGCCTAAAACCCTTTTTAACACGCATTAATTTATGAAAGTATCTTGAACCCTTTTCTCCAAATTCTCGCCAATTTACTTTGCACTGAAACATGTTTCGTTGAGTTTGTTCACCTACTAATTCATCCCTCTCCTGTTTTAGTTTAAAAAGTCGTTCTCTTTCCTTTTCATTTGGCTCGTCACATATTGAATTTATTTCGTTTTGCAGCACCTCAAGTCGTTCTGATCTTTTTCGCTTCATTCTGCTGGAGAACTTAATCGACTCTCCCCTGATAGCACATAGCACAGTCTGTAAGACCGTATGTTTACTTATGCCTTCAGTATCATTTGATGCTATGGTTTCAGGAATAAAACGCTTCATATAATCTACGTATTCTTCGTTAAGAAGAAGATTGTTGTTTAATTTCCAGTAAGACTTCCCCCACACTGTTTTCCCAATTTGCACTTCTAAGGTAATCAGTTTGTGATCCGCCAGATATCCATCAAGTATTTTTGCTGTCGGTTTGATTTGTTGTGAAAGCAAACATTCACTAATAAGAAAAAAATCGATCCTCGATTTGCTCATCGGGCGACTTCGCTGGTAGGTGAACTTTTTCTTCCCCGGATTGTTCACACGCCAGATATCCACCAAGTCTTTGTAATCCATGAATTGTGCAATTGCTTTTTGACACCTGTGGTTGTTAACAACTCGTTTTGCCCTGGTAAGTCTGTCAATTTTCATGTCTAACACAGTATTCCAATCGCCTCCCAAAATCATAGCGTCACAACTGAAGCGCTCAATACTTTGAAACAGCTCTTCCAAAGCTCCAGGTTGATCATAGTTGGGTCCATATATGTTCGCGATTACAATCACTGCCCCATTTATTTCGGCTTGCATGACAATATATCGCCCATTTTTGCAAGTGTCGATTCCAAGAGATTCTATTCTACTTCCTGGGAGCAGGAAGATGGCCACACCCCTACTCCTACTGTCGCCGTGGGCGAAGAAACATTTGCCGCCCCACTCGTTTCTAATGATTGCTTCTAATTGTTGGTCGCTGTGCGTCTCCTGCAATAATATCACATCGGCGTTCATGTTTTTCAGCCATGTAAACAGCTTACGTCGTTTTGGCACTGTGCCACTTGTTGCTTTGAGCCCATTTACGTTCAATGATACTATATGAATTGTCAGCTACTTTAATTCGGCGTTTGGCACGCCGACGCCACCGACAACCCCCGAGCGGCGACACGTATAGATTAACCACGGTACGGTGCGGCCCGGAGCACACACAACACCAGACACAGTTTCCTTAACAAGCTAGCAACACATGCGGACACTTCACCGTCCCTTAACCTACGAAGCGAAAACAAAAACTGAGCGTAATTGCACGAAAGCTCCGAACGGGTCTTAGTCGCGCGACATCCCTGTATATACACGGCCGGCCTCGACAGCGCCGAGCGGCCGCCGCGCCGGGTCCAGTCAGCTCCCTATCTCGTCCCGCCCCTCCCTGACGTCTGGTCTGGACCTCTACTCAGTCCAGGTATGACGTGACGTCACTGTTACACAGGAACGTCAACTCCGGCCAGTTCATTCGAACATCCCCTCCGGCATACCCCACCCCATCCCTCTCACAACACCAGCCCCCGGTCCAGGCCCAGGCCCAGGCCCAGTTCCCGGTCCCGTCCACCGGCCAGACGCCGTCTCCCCACACCCCTCCCCGCTGCGCCGACCGGCCGACCGCGCTGTCAGTCTGACCCGGCTCAGACTTCAGGCACAGTGGGCGTCGCTAGAGCTGCCGGCTTTTACCCGGCTCGGTGCCCGCGTCTCTGTACGAGAAGGCTCCACTGACTATGCATATACAGCCCAAATCACTAGGTCATGAATTTCTGGAGCACCTCCTGCACCGAGTCGACGCGTACGTTTTCACCAGATTTCACCAGATCACCAGAGTTTGATTATCACAAAACACATACTTATATCCAACGGAGGTGCTGCATTTAACTGATATCTTGGAAAGATCGAAACATTTACCAAATGACAATAATTCACAATATTTGGATGACTCATGCGATTAATCGTAAGTTAGCCACCTGGCACCTGTTTTGATCTCACTGCAATATCGTACTGATACATTATGCATTCAGTAATGCATAGCATCCTGTGATCGGTAAACACACAGCACAAACAACGGACGAATCTAGTGACCTTTTCCGGAAGATACTATCATTCGTCGTTTCCTGGAACCCTTCATTTCGTCAACACAGAGCACAGAACGCGTCACGCAAATTGCTTTGTGCCGCGTGTGGATCGATGAACTACTGTTGATCGATAAGGGAATCTGCCGTACTTATGTAATTGCACCTTGTGTATAAACAGTCTTTTTACACTTTATACATCAATAATTTTTCAATGTAATATCCATATCCATATGTAATATCCCGTATAATTCGTCAGTTCAGCCATCATCAAACGAAATGAGTAACAAAAACTTTGAACATCCTAAGGGTGCTCCCGGTATTCACATATATTTCAGAATTCATTGTGTGAGCGCTTTATACTCAAAATGTGTACACTTTATACGCAACATTTGATTTATGCAACACTTTACTGCAACACAACGCCATAGCAAGCCTGCTTCACCTCACTGCACGTCGGCAGGTGCAGTAACCACGCCGTGAAGTGCGACGTTCAGTGCGTCCTCAGGGGCAGGGGCAGTAGCGATGATCGACCGACGATCGACGTTACGGTGTTCTAGGAACTGGCGGCGCCGGTGGACACAACAGACGGCCATTCAGGGTGTGTTCCAGACCGTGCCAGGCCCGGTGGGGGTTGCGGAGGGAGGGGAGGGGAGTGTTTTGTGGCCGCGCGGACATTCGTGCTTCTCCGTAGTGCGTCCACATAGTGCCGACGCGAGGCTCAGGTGCGAAAACAAGTCTGATATTTAGTTCGCTGTCAGTTGGCTGGACGATCATTTGCCGGTACGTCCAGGCAAGAGGACACGTCAGGACTGTCAGTACTAAACTTGTTGCAAGAAGTTATCGTAACAGCAGTTCCTTGATTGCATAACTGTGCAAATCGCTGCAGAAGACGGTGTATTTGAACAGAGTCGCATAACATATCAAAGATCAAGCTGTGTGATATCTTCAGTGCTACTTCTTTCACCGACAATTCAAGTCACGTGACTTCAACTGGCCGGCAGCTACTATTTGACCTCGGTGACCTCGGTGACCTCAACTGAAGGTTGCTCTCCATGTACGACGGCGTAGAGGAGATGAAGTTCACGAGGCCCGTCACCCCCGGCTCCGTTCGACCCGTCAGACATTCGTCACACTCAGCAACGATATCATATACAGCTAAACAGGTGAGACAATTCAATGGTTCATTATTTGGTGTGTTGCAAAATGACTATAAATACACATATGAATACTGGCGCCATGGATATTAAAAAAATATGCTTACCCCAGGCGCTCATTTACGAAGCGAAGTAAGCTTTATGTTAGTTTTACATCAGCATGTGACTCGGCAGCGGCTAATGTGTCTGGCTCAAGCCATTGCTGAACGACCAGTCGAGGTGCCTCTTGCTCAGGCCGTGACCTGAGGAGCGACCGACCGAAGTCAGAGGTCAGCAGTGGTGTCGACTGTCGGGCGTTGATCGGATGTCGGCGAGCTTACATTGTTTCCGCGGCCTTCTCTGTTTGCTTTTTTATATCTTATAAAACACCTCTTTAATGCACGTCACATTTTAAACCCAGCGCATTCGGGTGCACGTCAGAATAGCTAGTGACATTTGAGCTAGTGACGTTTCAGCTGGTACATAAACGTTAGCTGGCAGCTAGCACATAAACGTTAACCCGCGCCCTGCTGGGGGGTGTTTGAACACCCCCCTTGTGGTTTTTTGCGAATATCTCAAAAACGGCGGCGCGGAGCGCCGCCGTTTTTGGTACATACACCTTATCATACATCTATTCTACACATGTTGTTAAAATTTCAGACCAAGGTCATTCAAGGTCAGGTCACCAGGTCACTTGAAGTGACCTCACCTCATAAAAAGTTTCAATGTCTGCCATAGCTACACCGAGTGACCGATCACTTTGAAACTTTCAGCGATTGATAAGAGTAACAGTATCTATCAAATGTATATCTCGGAATTTTGATATCGGTGACCTAAGGTCAGGTCAATTTTGCGACCTCCCCATTATAAGTCAATGGGAGAAAATTGAAATGCGCCTCTTTTGGACGAAAGACATTATACACACTCCCAAACACTGAATAACAAGTGGTTTAGACACACTGAACATGAAAATGGTGTCCGTGACCCCTATTTATGCCCCTGAGGTCATCTCAGGTCACGAATGGTGTCTAACAGTTTTTCGCAAATAACTTTTGATAGAGGCATGCTAGAGCGGTGAAAACGCCTTAGATGTGCTCAGCTCGACGATACGGATCGACTGATATGCAACATGACCCTTTCCGGTCAGGTCATGACCTTGACCTGAGGTCAAATTTTCAAGTTGATCTTTCAAGGTCAAATTATAGTTCATTCGATGCGTCTTCACAAGAGGAACACGATGCCGGTAAAAGTAAGCTCGTGCACAAGGCTTGGGTCAAAAGTTATTGCAGAAAAACGGTTTCCGAAAAAATCGGCTATTTTTGCAGTTTTGCCCCCTGCAGGCAAAACCGTTGACGTTAGGTCAAATCTGAAAGAATTACTCAGAAAGGGCGTTAATAGGGCTATCAAATGCGCTTTTCCGCGGCGCTGTAGCTTTATTGGTTCCCGAGTTATGCGTTGGCTTCCTGGAAATTTTCTACATTCGACCTGAAAATCGGCGAAATTTTGCCTTCAATGACCTCTGGTGACCTGACCTTTGACCTGACCAAAAACGTGACTGAAGTGATTTCGTCATTATTTTTGGCGCTCTTTCGAACGCCGCCTTCCACGTATCGCTACGTGGCCCAGGAGCCGAGTTAGAAGGGGGGGGTGTTCAAACACCCCCCCCCCCATCAGGGCGTGGAAATCCAGGACCCCCAGCCTAGGTACGGCTCTAGCGAGATTAAGCGGTAGGTTTTGCACTTTTACATTTACGGCTATATCTCAGAAACTAATCGATCTACGATGTAGCCATTTTACACGATCATGGCTGGCCTGTGAACCAACAAGTCGATCGCATCTTCAACACACTTAACCCTATTCCTGGCGGGGGAGGGGCCTCAGGAGCCCCCCCCCTGAGGTTTTTTGGTTATTTCTCCCAAACGCGTTGAGCTAGGAAGCTCAAATTTTCTGACTTTTCCTAAAAGGCTTCTACGCAACATGTCTGAAAATTTTGAGTTGATCTGACCTCAGGTCAGGTCACCAGAGGCGGTTTGGTGACCCTACCTCAGAAAAGTTTGCAATCACGCCAGAGCTAGAGTTTTTGACCGATCAATTTCTTCTCTTCAGGCTTTAGTTAGGGTACCAGTATGTGCAATTTGTATATCTCGGAATTTTGATATCGGTGACCTAAGGTCAGGTCAGTTTCGCGACCTCCCCATTATAAGTCAATGGGGGAAAAATCAACTCCCTGTTTTTACCACTAAAACGGGTCAGAATGGCCCCATATACCATACATGACTTCATATACGATCAACCTTCACTACCTTGAGGTCTGTTTTGCTGTTGGGCAGCTGTGAGGTCATGTGACGTCATCAAAGGTCACCAAAGGTTTTTGGCCAATAACTCCGTACAGGAACAAGATACAGACGCGTGGATGGTCTCATTGTGTTCAGCTCGTCAAGACGCATCGAATGGTATACATGATGACCTCGAGGTCACGTGACCTGAGGTCAACCTTTGACCTTGACCTTTCGAGGTCAACATATATATCATTCGATGCGGATTGACGAGAGGATCACGATGATGCACTTAGTTTGTTCCCATCTTGAATAATTCGAAAGTTATTCGAGAAAAACTCTCTCCATATCTAGCGCCGCCATTTTGACCTTTTCGACCCCTGTGACGTCATCTTTGACCTGACCTGAAAATGACCTTTGTAGAAATTGTAGATCTTGACCGTGCGTATCCGATGCCGTTTACCGTTTGTCGCTGCGATGTGTAGTTTTTGAGATCTGAAGGGGGGCCGAATCGGCCTCCCCCCCCCGCCAGTTTCTTGTCCCGGCGGAGCCCGCCAGGAATAGGGTTAAAACCTTAAGACGACGAAGATATAGCCTGAAGTATACATACATACTAAATTTCATAGGGGCAAAACCTACCGCTAAAACCCGCGAGACCTGTACACTGGAAGCCCTTCGCGTCATAGGTTTACTTAGGTGACAGTCAATTAATTATATGAATCATGCAGTGGTCAAATACCTCAGGCTAGGCCTCTACAGAACTACCCAAACCAGCGCCACCCGGTGGTGCCAATGGTACTAAGTGCGGTTTGCTAGGCAACTAAACGATGCACTATGTAGGTAGACCGGGCGACGGCCCCCATCAGCGATCGATGCGCAGTGTCCACGAATTCCTATGTGGTCAGTTCCGACGCAGTAGAACAGGGCCCGTGCGGAGCCAGAACGCTGTGTCTTGTGTGGACAATAAACAGTGTGCTAAAGTGTGCGGTGTTGTGACTATCAAGTCACCCTCTCCCATCGGTTTGGGTCACTTTTCCAGACGTTTTCTATCCTAAATATTCAGCTAAATTATTTTTCCTGCTGTATCAATATTTTCCCGTGCGCACAACGTTATTCTCTCAACCCTACCCGGACGGCACCAAAATACTGAAGTCCCTACCACTACACCGAGGAAGCAGAGGGCCTTGAGGTCTTCTTTCACCAAGAGTTCGCCACTATCGATACACTGGGGCGCCACCTGGGAGGCGGGACGCCGCCCATGCGGCTCCCGCCCCTACGCATCGGTAATAGCCACACTCCGATCCACACCCTGACTTTGGACTCTCCGGAGGTGAAGGAGAAGGTGCCAGAACAGGTGTCCATGACGGGTGCAGGACGTAGGGGTGATGGTACGATCAACGTGAGTCAATGGTATTGGTGGAAGCAGGATGGTGTGGTGCTTGTGATTTTTGAGTTATGTATTTGGATGTTTTTCCACCAAGTGCCTCATGAACGGTGTTATAGCTAATAGTAGCAGTTTTCACGACGGGCTATCCGGAGAATGCACCTAATGTTGACCAAATCTGCACCTAATCTGCACCAAATGTGCACCAAATGTGTACCAGATGGCCGTCGTGAAAACGGCTAGTATGTCTCGATAAGGAAAGTTAATATATGAAATATTTATATGTGCTAAGCAAAATGTCAAATCATGGCACTGAATATTGTCGGTATTCATATATCGCGTTAGACGAATTTGTCGAATTATGTCACTCCTCAATTATTCACACCCGGCCATATGACATGACGTTCGATTGTCATTCGGACGCCGGAAAGATGCTTGTAACTCGGCTTGCCGCCTTCCTTGACATGGAATATTCATTTATTTCCACTCATATCACATTCCTACAGAGTCGCCCTCCCTCACAAACTGTGAAACCCTGACTATACATCGCCACTGCGCGTATGAGACTCAACTGTGACTTCTTTGCCACCATTTGTTCTCAGAGGAAGCTCGATGCCAACCGGTATGCCACCAAGAAGACGATCGCCCAGGGGATGCTGGACGTGGCGCTGCTGACGGCCAACGCGTCCCAGCTGCGCTACGTCCTCCAGGCGGGAGATCAGCACGAGTTCTACACGCTGATGGTGACCCTCATCAGCATCAGCATCGCTCTACAGGTCAGTATTGCTAGCGTTTGACTTATGCATGACAAGGATGCTGGTTTCCACAAGAGAGAATCATGATCCAATGCCGATTTTTGTACGTAAATGTTATTTTTATTAACCCGCGCCGGGCCGGGGGGGGTGTTTGAACACCCCCCCTTGCGGTTTTTCGCAGATATCTCAAAAACGGCGGCGCGGAGCGCCGCCGTTTTTGGCACACCTGTTTGTGCATCTTTTCCGCACAAGTTTTGAAAATTTCAGATCCAGGTCACCTTAGGTCAGGTCACCAGGTCACGCCAAGTGACCTCACCTCAGAAAAAATAAGAATGCTCGTCATAGCTACACCGATTGAACGATTGCCTTGAAACTTTCAGCGATTGATAAGAGCAACACTATCTATAAAATGTATATCTCGGAATTTTGATATCGGTGACCTAAGGTCAGGTCAATTTTGCGGCCTCTCCATTATAAGTCAATGGGAGAAAATTGAAAAGCGTCTGCTTTGCACGAACGCTATTCTAGACACTCTCATACATCGAGATGTAGGTAAAATAGACACACTGAACCAGAAAATGGCAACTGTGACCCCTCGTTATGTCCGCGAGGTCATCTCAGGTCACGAACAGAATCTAACAGTTTTTCGATGATAACTTCTGATAGAGGCGTGCTAGAGCGCTGAAAATTCCTTAGATGTGTTCGGCTCGACGTTACGGATCGACTGATATGCAACATGACCTTTTCCGGTCAGGTCATGACCTTGACCTGAGGTCAAATTTTCAAGTTGACCGTTCAAGGTCAAATTATAGTTCATTCGACGCGTCTCGACGAGAGGAACACGATGCTGGCAAAAGTAATGTCATAGCTCTTTTGAGTCAAAAGTCATTGCCGAAAAAACGTTTTTCGTAAAAACGGCTATTTTTGGAGTTTTTGCCCTCTGGAGGCTAAACCGTTGACCTGAGGTCAAATCTGAGAACATTACTCAGAAAGGTCTGTAAAAGGGCTATCGAATGCGCTTTTTTGCGGCGCTGCAGCTCTATCGGTTCCCGAGATAGCCGTTGGCAGTTTCCAAAATGTTGAAATAGTCAACATTTTACCTTTGGTGACCTCTGGTGACCTGACCTTTGACCTGACCCAAAAAAATGACCGAAGTGTTTTCGTCCTTATTTTTGACGTTCTTTCGATTGCCGCTTACCGCGTGTCACTACGTGGCTCAAGTCAGGAGCCGAGTTAGAAGGGGGGGGGGTGTTCAAACACCCCCCCCCCCCCCGCGGCCCGGCGCGGAATCTCAGAGCACCGGCCCGGCGCGGGTTAATGCACAATGCTCAATAAACATTAGCATGATTCGATTATTTATGCGACTAAAATTACATTTTTTTTTAACGAAGTGAGCCATTCACTGCTGAAAGGACTTGTGTGGTTGAATGCAAACACTTTTATCATGCATGAATCAGCACTAAATTTAAGTCCTGTGAATCTACTCTCAAAGGAATCGGCAGCCTTTTATGCATTCATAATTATATGTTTATGGTTATTGTGCACTTCAATGCTTGCATTAATTTTGTTTGGCGATCAGTTTAGGAGAGAGACGAGCACTTTTATGTTGTCGATTTTAACGCTTTATCTAAATACCAAACGGTGCATCGAAAATAGTGGTACTATCTTGCAATTACACTTTCATATAACGGGGTATGATAGTGTCATCATGCATGCATAATTTCACGCGCGAACAAGCGGAAAAAAACTAAACAATAGACTAATTTCAGTGCGTAGTTTTTTGTATTTAATACGAATACAACATATTTGGCTGCTAGCTGACACCAGTTGGATTGATTTAAATGCTTTTTTAAAAAACATATTGCATTGCATTTTTTACCCCAAAAAAAGTCACAGTCATTCAGCAGGAACTGTATGTGATGTGTTCAAGGAGGTCGCAGATATGAAAACAATAATTTTAGCACATCAATATAGCTTCATCAATAAACTACATGCATCTGTCCTCCGAATCTCAAAATTACATTATTGATTGTATTAATTTTGGCGAGTGATGTTAGTCTTGCACTTTGCAAGCCTAGCAACGCTTGGCCTCGTACAAAGAAGACATTCCTTTGAGAAAGACAGCCCTCTGTGGACACTGGACCCCCATGGTTCGTTGTAAATCAAACGGTGCGTTTTCCTAGCCATAACAGCTGCAGCCCGGGCCCCGGCTGCCTGGATCAAACGTCATTATACAAAACAAACATCGTTAAAGATGAAACACTACCACACAAAATCAAATCGGTAGGATCATGCCAATAAGTCGGAGACACAATTTTCCTAGTGACGATCTGATCGGCTATCGCATTTATCCAGCGCTGCCTTCGGACTATAAGTGAGCCTGCAAGACGTGAAATTATGCAATGTGTGGAAGAATATCCCAAAGCTCCCTTGATAAAATAAAATATTATCATTGACGCACTGCTGTGCAATTTGAAGCAAAACTTAGGTAGACACCTGTAAACCAGTTATATGCAGGGACTTATGGGCAAAGTTAAGTACCTACATGGTCTGTAAACCTTTTTCCTAGCTGGCAATGCGGTAAATTCTTACAAATTATTGACTGGAACGGCTAGGTCGTACGTCCGCAAAAGCTTTCTGGAATCCACTGCAGTATTTCAGACCTAAAATTCCATGGTCGGTCTGCCATCTAGCAAATGACTCCTCGGCCCGCGCGCCATCTAACGGGCTCTTCCGTCGTCCTTTGCAGTTGGTGATTGGCATCCTCTCGCTGAGCCTGAATTTGCTGCGCGACTGTCGCCTGGACCAAGAAGAATATGCCAGATCGGCAAACGCCCTAAACTACGCGTCTCTGACCCTTGTATTTCTGGCCACCACGGCTAATGTCCTGATCGCGGCGTTCGATGTGCGCGAGTCTGTTCAGTCGAATAATGATGTACAAGTAACCGCAGCATTGTATGACGATGTCAGTGACGTCATTCCCTAAGCCAAATGAACTCTGATAGCCAATGAAAAGGCAGTGCTGTTTTGTCTTAAATTTGCGCTAGTCCTGTTCTCGCGGAAATTTGAAAAATGTCCTGTCACTTCACCCCATAACCAATAAGTAATAACCATGCATGTCAATCTACGTAGGCTACTTATAGGATTAGGCTGTATACTGTATAGTGGTTGGACGGTAAAGCGACTGCGAGCCACTGTCCGTCCGTCTATTACGCATATCTGTATTCTGTGGTCTGTACCTACCGAGGTTAAATAAAACATGAAATAGATGTGTAAAATAAGATCTTGAAGGCATAGAAAATGTTCGTGTTCACTGCTCCATAACATTTATATCGTCTCGTCGAAAATATTCAGATGCATTGATTTTAGAATGGAAAAAGATTGTTTGTAAATACTTCTACCTACGGCGAAATAAAATCATTTGATATTTCGATCCTGACATCGATTCATGTTTACTAGCATATGGAACTTTGAGCTGACAAGAACTTATAGCGTAAATTAAATTGTAAAAACCTCCGTTATTGCAACAACGATGTCGATATCGTAGCAGAGACCTGCGCCTATTTGAACTCGAATGTCGCAACTCGCAACTCAACGAAAATGCATGTGGTGTTGAGAATTAAATGGCTTCTAATTGGTAACAATATAAGTACAAATTAAAGACTTGTGGTCTGTTGTCTGTTGCCGACAGTTGAAAATACATCATATCAATTTCATAGTATTGCAAAACCGGATCAAGTCAAATGCAATACCAAACACAGCCATGATAAAATACACAAAGACCCAACTGATATTAAAAAACTGACGAGTCGTCTTTATGCCAAAGACATAGGCACTTATATTGAATTCATCAACAAAGGTTTTGAAATACTATAAATAGAGCAACACAGCGGTATTGGTTTAATATTGGCATGCGATAAATTCCTGAATACGTAAAAAGCATTAGTGCATGCAAATGTAATGTTTAAGGATCTTTAATTTATGTCATTGATTATAAGGATTTGTCTAATAATGAATGGCTGATCCATGCCATTCTTATTAGACAGAGGCACTGCTTTCTATAACTCCCGCTGATCTTTCGACATCGCCAAAAAGCCCCCCCCCCCCCAGGCAATTAACCAGTAATATCCTCTTTAAAGAATCCAGTCACTCTTTCGCCCTCCATTTATGTTACCCCTTGCATCCATGACCTTTTGGACAGCGTATTATTACTTTAAAGCTTATACTCCTGCCCCTGTCCTGCCCCGCAGTCGATCCAGGCGTTGGCGAACGTCGCCCTCACCGTGATGGACATGGTCGAGAAACATCACGACCTCGCCTACAGCCTCTGTCGCTGGCGCAACGCGTTCAACAACTTCACCATGGTGCTGGCCTCCTGTACCATCATCGTGGACGCAATCTGGAACGGCTTCGGCTGGGACAGCTCGCGGCACGTGCCCAAAGGATACGAGGGTGTGGCGGGGCTGCCAAGAGGCGACCCGGAGGCTGAAGCCGTGGCTGCAGCCGCCGCCGCCGCCGCCGCGTATGATGATATACTACCTTAGCGTGCAATAGTGCGGTGAAATAAGAGGACAGGCCGGTCGAGTGTGTTAAAGTGTCGTTATACATACGGTATAAACTAAGCGCGAACCAGTGGATGGTCTTCATAGACGTGATATTTGAGGTTATCCGTTGAATATGAATATTGCATAATGCATATGCTACCTAGAAGGCAAGACACTGGAGTGCTGGTCCAATCAACGAAGGTTTCAGTGGTATGTCTGCCTGTTTGTCTAGCATTCATATTACGAAATCTGATGTGCTTAGCTTTCGTGTGATTTTACTCTTTCGTAAAACGTGAATGCTAAGATCAACATGTACATAAATCATTTTGAATGATGAAATATGAGCATGTACATTGTACATACATTAGCAAAGCAAAACATTGCATGTCGATTGGCGAGTTATTCCTGCAAACTTTCAATTTAGAAACGGTTCACGTGTTGCATTGTTTGTTTAGCCTATAAATGCCCTGAGATTCTATGATCGTTGCATGGTAATAAACAGTATAACAAATCATGCCTAGTAAATGTTAACCAAGTGTCTGTAAGTATGCTACGCGATGCTGGTGACCGTTCTTACAACATGAAAATTACTGGCTGGGATGTGCTGTAAGAACCACGTCATGTTTCAGATGCGTAAATTGTTTTTGATTAATATAAAATTCCTCCACTAGCAATGGATGTGTCGAATCGCACCTTCTAATATCTGATGTGCTGCGCAAAGCACGACTGCGGCTCGAAAAGGTAATAAACTATAACAAAGATCGCCTTCGGTTAGAAAATATTCACGCCTGTCCTTTTAAATTGATACTAAAAATTTGATGGGAAAATCAGCAATTTTACCAATAGGCAGTGCTATAACATCATTAATTCATTATATACCTATATAACTAAATGATTCAGGGGCCAGTGCATTAATCATCACTCATTTTTGTCGCTCATTTTTATTTTCATATCCTGCCACTTTTGGTGTCTTTTTACAGCTACACGCTTCAAATTTGATGCACAACATGCAGCTTTTATGGCTTGTTGTTCAAGCACACAGTCAAAGTTGAATCCATTCAGGCATCCCATTAAATAATTTTGATGGATTCTATAAGTATAGTGTGATAATACAACAGACATATTCACCTCGACAAACTAGCAAGCATTAATCAGATATTATTTCACCTGTGTTTTTATGAAAGCTTATCAACACTTTCAATGGCATACTTTGAAACATGAAATATCGATTTCCACAAGCAAGCGAGAAGTCAACACGTTAATCTGATTTCGAACTGCTGTCTTTTCACAGATCGTGGTGGGCATTGCTCTGATGGTGCTGGGGACTTTGGACATCAACGAAGGCTCCTCGAGCCAGTACGCGGCGGATATCATCAACAACGTCGCCGTCATACTCGTCTTCATCATCACAATTGTGAACATCATCATAGCCGCCTTCAGCATAGAGAACACGAACATGGTGTTTGTGAAGGCACAGCCTTTGGAGAACACTGCGACCATGAGTCGAATTATAAAGTAGCCAGCACGGGGAACAGGAACGCGATTATCAACAAATTATTCAACGCAACTCAGAGTAAGGTGTTCCGGCAGCGTACACGTCAAGTTAGATAATGTTATGTGAATTGTTATTTGATACAAATTATACAACCGGCAAGCTACTGAAAAGAACGCGTTTAACTGCGTCATTTGTATTTTGTATTTTTGAAAATGATGCGGATGTGCGTTTGAAGTTGTGCGGTTTCAGAAGTGTTGGCAAAACACTAAGCAGATACTTACATGCCAATATTTAAAAGGCAAATGGTGGAGCTATCGCCTGGCTTTGTTCAAAGGATGTCAAATAAAGCGAGACTCGGAGGGTTCTGATCTATCGCAGATGCAAGCATATATGCAACAGTGCTTGATCATACATCACTCCTGTACCATGTGGTGTCTCATTCACACCTGTTGAATTTTGTGCCACTTGCATCCGTTTGCATGCAATAAATTCGTGGGTAAGAATAATTGTGTTTGGCAATGACTGTCCAATTAAAATCATATAGTTTTGGCAAGCGTTTTATGTTTAGGGGAACGATATAGTCACTAAACGTTAGAAGGAGAATACGTCATGGAAACATGCGAGTATCGACACAAGGCATGCCAAGGTCTCCTTCGCCATTTCATCGTAACCTCTTAACTATTAGCTTACAGCTTATAAGTTGAATGGTATATGACTAATAAATAATAAAGGCGATGAAGCGCCAGCTGTCCGCGGAGGGCCGCCTGCCGATCGATATACGAATTCCAGTGTGACCTGTGAGGGCAGTAGAGCCGGTAGAACGTGGTTTGTATTTCGCCCAAACACTGCGCCGCGAGTCGGAAGCAGCTGCAGTGTGTAAGTCTGCATGGTGCAAGTCTGTGCTCTGGCGTGAAAGTTAGGCCACCCGCCCTGCATATCTCGTTCATGAGGCTGGCTGTCTCTACGTGTCTCTGTGTAGGCTGTATTAGCCGTTTTCACGACGGCCATCTGGTACACATCTGGTGCACATTTGGTGCAGACTAGGTGCAGATTTGGTCAAATTAGGTTCAGTGTGTCTCTTAGTAGCTATCAGCTAGGGTTGCACTAATTGCTTATATAGCTGCTTTGTCACATTATCAGCCGAGTGAGTATAATCGATTAAAACACTGAAATAAATTCATAAGATAAAGATATTTGCTGTAAAAGAGATTAGGTGCAGTTGGTCAAATCAGGTGCACTCACCGGATAGCCCGTCGTGAAAACGGCTATTGAAAATCATGTCCATTGAGCTGTCCTAATTTATTCTGTAGGTATCTGGCCCATTATGTAATCACCATCGTCATACACGACCAGTGTGGTAACTTATTCAGTGCGATGAGGACTGAAGAGACGTTTTCAGGTAGCGCTGAGGTCTTCCTGCAAACATGAGTGAAGTCGTCGACACCATGGAGCGCCACCTGGATGGGGGAAGGGGGTCAGCGCCGACTAGGCTCCCGCCGATGCGCGTGGGCCACGGACACTCTGCTCACCAGAGGCAAAGGAGCAGGTCACCACCACCGGACTCTCCAGAGGTGAAGGAGGAAGTCCCGGGGACTGTCACAATGTCAGCTGCCAGTCGTGTGGCCGACGCCGTCACTAGCGCGCTCAACATGGACAAAGTGAGTGCGCTACGCCTGGCCTGGAGGAAGCGGTTGGCGCTGGGGGCCAGGGACTTCTTGCTTTTTTCGAGAATGGCATGCTTGTGATATAAGCGGCATTGTAATTGGAAGGATCAATCCTTTTGTCATACCTATAGTCATAACAAAAGAATGCAGATTTCAGGATATGTCACTAATACATCAATTATCAAGCACGAATATCGGGCAACATAAAGCGCATGATGTTTTATGATAGACAGCAGCATAGAGTGCCTCGGCCACTTTCTCTTCCAGCTGCAGCCCACCTAACATATGTAGCAACGAATACCTCAAATGTTTTTTTAACCTTTTTGCACATTTTCTTCACAGTTTTTAAGTCTATTTTATATCCCTTGCCCTTTTATACAAAGCCGATTGGTCCGGGGAGGGATATAGCAAGCCTATATTTGACGGCTCGTCACTTTCTCTCCACAGAATAGGGTCGACCCAAACCGATATGCCACCAAGAAGACGATCGCCCAGGGGATGCTGGACGTGGCACTGCTGACTGCCAACGCGTCCCAGCTGCGCTATGTCCTCCAGGCGGGAGATCAGCACGAGTTCTACACGCTGATGGTCACCCTCATCAGCATCAGCATTGCGCTACAGGTGAATATCGCAGGAGCGTCTGAAACGTATACGCACTCTAAATGCATGAAATAATGCTGCTTTTAAATGTAAGGGCTTGATAATCACATGCCACTTGCTCATTTGCAAGCGATAAGTAATCATTATTTGATTAAAAAAAATAGAACATTTGTCAATTTATTTATTGTGCGATAATACAACCTCGATATGAGATCTGTAAATCACAATTGACCAAAAAATTGTAATGAAATGAAACGACTACCCATCAATAAAAATGTTAAAAATAAACTTTAGCTCATAATATGAGAGAAAATGATTGAAAATAAACCTTTTCAATCTATTTATCTGATATTATCATTATTACTAAGGGTCAGTTCTAACCTTTTTATTTATTATATTCATGCTCATAGGTTGAAACACATATGAGACTGCGCATCTTCTAAAAATACATATTTCTAATTTGCACCAATGTAAATATTGCTATTAATATATCATTTGTATTTTTCAATATTTGTATGCGTTGATTCGATTATCATTTCCGATAAATATCCTAATCAATGCCCATAATATCGATTTTGATTGACACTGCACGCATAAAAAGCGCGATAATAACAAGGCACTGGGTCCTGCTTTTAAATACACAAAACACATTGTCAAGACATGAATGCCATCATGGTCTTCGTGCTGTTTTGGTTGTCAGCGAACGTAAAAGCAAGGTGCAGGCCTGCTTTAAGCATTCCATGTGCACAGTTGTTTGCTAAGCACGGAAACAATGCTTTTGCAGTGTTATCAATTTAATTTATATTATTTTATGTGAATCCAAAATCGATGCTCTTTATAAAATAGTTATAATGCAGTAAAACACGAAATTTAGAAGCTGTCACCCATAAGCTCCAAAAATCCTAGTTATTTTAGGAATAACGCCTGATTGTACTTGCAAAGAGCTTTTGACCTCGTCTTACCCTGACAGAGTATCAATTGTCTACACAATACATATACGCAACCAATAAGCTACATTCGGGTCGGCCGTAGGCAGCAAGAGTTATTTCCAGTCTGCCACACAATTCCTACCAAGGAATTCACACCTGGCTTTAAATCTGTTAAGTATTTGATAGTTAGCTTTACGCTTATATAATAATGTTGGTCGTTACTACGCAGAAAAGGCAATTATTTGATAGGAACGCTGCAAGGTGGAGCGAGGGATCGCAATGACTCGTTATAAATTAAACGGGGCGTTTTCATAGGCATGACAACCGTCCGCCGGTTGAAAGCCCATTATGTAAGGCAAACCTTGTTAGGGAAAAATCAATACCCCAACTATGCAATATTTAGCCGGCAGGTCACCGACAGAATGCCAGATGCCTGGTGAAACTTAACCCTTGAACTTACGTAACAAGATCAGTTATGGGGTCAATTCGTAACAAGCGTTGTGAGGATTTTAGTATCAAGACTATGGTATACCTCAGAATCCCATAATTGGTAAATCACCATTGCGTCGGGCTGCTCCGCGCGCCATCTAACGGATTCCTCCGTCGTCCTTTGCAGCTGCTGATTGGCATTTTCTCAATCAGCCTGACTTTGCTGCGCGACTGTCGACTGGACCGAGAAGAATATACCACATCAGCCAACGCCCTAAACTACACGTCTCTGGTCCTCGTGTTTCTGGCCACTATGGCCAATGTCCTGATCGCGGCGTTCGATGTGCGCGAGCCTGATCTGACCGAAATTGATGCAGAAGTGATAGCTGTAGAAGCGGCTGGCAAAGAAGTTCCCTAGGGACATTAAGTTCGATCCCTGCGTCTCGACATTTATCTTGTGTTCATCCATTTCGCACCGGTGGAAAATGTGACTAAGCGTTTTGTTTCACCTTAGGAACTTTCTACGACTTGTTTGTAAAGCAGGTGTACCAACAAGAGGCACCGCGAATAACGCATCCCATATGCAGGTTTCGGAAACGTAAAGCAATGCACACATGTGTAAATGCATGAAAAGCAATGCATGTATTATATTTGGACTTGGTATAAAAAACATACTTTTCCAAGCCGGCGCTTGTATATATGTACCTAGATTGGTATTTGAAAAAGGTGGCGTTGATTGAAATGCGATTTTATGCTTTAAAGTGCTTGATTATAAGGATGGATGAAAAATATTATGTTATAATAAAATAATATTCAAGATAAAAAATAAACATGTCATTCAATGAAAGAAAAAACATCAGCTAATGCTGCAAGTAAAACGTTCATTTGACCGTAGCTTTTACGTTTGATGTATAACATGTGCATATACCACATTTTCAAAAAACATTCAGGTTTATAAGTAAAACTAATTGATGTTCAACTTTCGATGTCTTCACTTTCCGATAAAGTACCTAATCTTAGATATGCATTGAGCGTAGGTGCTCACAGCTAAAATATCTCGCATTCTAGCACCTATACCTAGACCTGTAGGTTCTAATAGTTTTGCCTATGCGTTTTACCTGAAATTCAGGCAATAAACAAATGGCTAAGGACATGCATGCTATGTTAATGTTAGCAGCATTTGGAATCAACGCTAAATCATCTTCTCGCGTTGCTTTTTGTGCTGTAAAAATAAACTGAACAGATATAACAGACTTTGTACGACAGACACCATTGAAAGTGAATAATGAACCACTATACAGGTATCGTTTTGATTCGCACAAAGAGGCACCTAAGCCATGCTTGTTCCATCGCATATAAATTTTTGTATGCCAAATTATATGAACGAATTATATGCCAGCTTCCTATTATGATTAAAGGAAATAGTTCACTTTGAACATGGGGTTTTGAACTGGAATAGCATGGTTTTGTAGCTTTAGCTGAGACTAGCATAAATCAGAAGCTTTTACGGCCCAACAATCACCCCAGACGAAGATATTCCATTTCTCGTTCCGAAAAGAGTGCCTTGCAGAGGAATCTGGAATGCGTGCCTTGCTGGGGAATGTAGCCACGTCATCGTCAGCCAATCAGCATGCTGCTTACAGTCAATGGGTTTGTACTGCGCAATATGATTGGTCAACGCGTAAGAAGCTTCCGCGTCAATTTTTTTAAAAGAATATAGTTCTTCCTATATTGAAATATATAAAGTAATATTTCTATAAAAAGGTTTTATTTTCTATGCTGATCATTTTGAGCATAACAAATCATAAATCCATTGCTAAAAACTAATTTCGGGAAAGTGAACTATTCCCTTTAATTCGATACGTTTCAAACTTCTATCACCAAAGTGTCCTTTCAACATGGCTAAATGTCACGGGCCACGGACCATTGTTACCGAAAATGAGGAGGAGGACAGATGCTCCAATGCCATATTCAACTTTATCTTCCAATTAACTATTAACTAACGTCTCAAGAATCAAAGTGCACTGTAATCCTGTTCCTGTCCTTCTCCGCAGTCGATCCAGGTGTTGGCGAACGTCGCCCTCATCGTGATGGATATCGTGGAGACCTGTGGAGACCTCTCCTACAACCTCGCTCGCTGGCGCAACGGGCTAGCCAGCCTCATCATGGTGCTGGCCTCGTGCACCGTCGTCGTGGACGCCATCTATAATGGCTTCGCCTGGGACACCTCGGCAGCGGTCTCGCAGCGGGAGGGTCAAGTCGCCGCCGCCGCCGCCACAGCCGCCGAGTTTGATGATATAATACCGTAGCGTGAAGCAGATAAAAACAAGAAAAGTTTGGACCTTTCGAGTGTGTGATTCAGCTTCAGATTCAGGTGATCGAGTGGCTTTGACTGTGCTTTATATTTTTGTTGGATATGCTGAATATGGATTTTACACCGCGCTTTCTAAGAACCATCGTTCTAGAATATGGGTCCGATCGGGAATTTATTTGCGTCGGCATTTTTGTCTAACCCTTTCTCCAATACATTTTCACATTCTGTGTTATGTGTTACTAAATTAGCCAAATCGAAACGCCTACAAGTGTGTGTGAAAACTGAAAAGATTAAAGAATAAGGTACTACTCATTAACCCAAGTGGATAATAGCTGGGTGAGTGATTCATCCCACCGTTTATTTTAGGACGCAGTTGTTGCCACCTTGCACATCTTTAACCCGCGCCCAAGTGTGGGGGGGTGTTTGAACACCCCCCTTACGGTTTTTCGCAGATATCTCAAAAACGGCGGCGCGGAGCGCCGCCGTTTTTGGTACACCTTATCATACATCAATTCTACACATGTTGTGAAAATTTCAGACCAAGGTCGTTCAAGGTCAGGTCACCAGGACACTTGAAGTGACCTCACCTCATAAAAAGTTTCAATGTCTGCCATAGCTACACCGAGTGACCGATCACTTTGAAACTTTCAGCGATTGATGAGGATAACAGTATCTATAAAAATATTTCGGAATTTCGATATCGGTGACCTAAGGTCAGGTCAATTTTGCGGCCTCTCCATTATAAGTCAATGGGAGAAAATTGAAAGCGTCTGTTTTGCACGAACGCTATTCTAGACGCTCTCAAACATCGAGATGTAGGTAAAATTGACACACTGAACCGGAAAATGGCAACTGTGACCCCTCGTTATGTCCCCGAGGTCATCTCAGGTCACGAACAGAATCTAACAGTTTTTCGCTAATAACTTCTGATAGAGGCGTGTTAGAGCGCTGAAAAGGCCTTAGATGTGTTTGGCTCGACGTTGCGGATCGACTGATATGCAACATGACCTTTTCCGGTCAGGTCATGACCTTGACCTGAGGTCAAATTTTCAAGTTGACCTTTCAAGGTCAACTTATAGTTCATTTGACGCGTCTCAACGAGAGAAACACGATGCTGGCAAAAGTAATGTCATGGCTCTTTTGAGTCAAAAGTTATCGCCGAAAAACCGATTTTCGTAAAAACGGCTATTTTTGGAGTTTTTGCCCTCTGGAGGCTAAACCGTTGACCTGAGGTCAAATCTGAGAGCATTATTCAGAAAGGTCTGTAAAAGGGCTATCGAATGCACTTTTCCGCGGCGCTGTAGCTCTATCGGTTCCCGAGATAGCCGTTGGCAGTTTCCAAATTGTTGAAATAGTCAACATTTTACCTTTGGTGACCTCTGGTGACCTGACCTTTGACCTGACCCAAAAAACGACCGAAGCGTTTTCGTCCTTATTTTTGACGTTCTTTCGATTGCCGCTTACCGCGTGTCGCTACGTGGCCCAGGAGCCGAGTTAGAAGGGGGGGGTGTTCAAACACCCCCCCACACCAGGTCGTGGAAAATCCAGACTGACACTGGGGCGCGGGTTAAAAATGCATATTTCGAATGCGCACGTTCTGCACAATGCACATTGCTCACGTTATGGCTTTTCATCTATGTACACTCTCAGAGCCAAATTTCATGATGTATTTTTCTGTTCACACTTGGTGAAATAATCTGCAACGCATGAAGTGCACGAATAGTTAGTTCTAATCTAACCCAAATCATCGTTGTATTTTATGCTACTGAATCTGCTGTTTCAAATTTCAATTTCAAAGTTCTGGTATTGGTGGTTTATCTTCATAAACTATTTTAATATGAAAATATGCATAGATATAGACTACTCTACAGCCTATACAGTGTAATGCACTGCAGTAATCTGTGGCATTAACCATTTATAAGTAGTTCATCAATACCTGAAAAATTACGAAATCGCCTGCCTCCACTGTGCTGTTCATCCTTTCAGATCGCGGTGGGCATCGCCCTGATGGTCCTGGGGGCCCTAAGCATCAACGAGGGCTCCTCGACCCAGAACGCGGCCGCCATCATCAACAACGTCACCGTCATACTCGTGTTCCTCATCACGGTGATAAACATCGTCATAGCTGCCTTCAGTATAGAGAACACTAACATAGTGTTCAACGAGTTAGAGGCGATCAAAAATCCTGTCACCAAGACACCAATCATAAAATAGGTCGATGGACCATAAACGTTCAGTTGTCTATCAACAGCTCATCGAAAGCAAACACCATATGGAATATCACTAGTGGGCTTGATGTAGGGGAGAGCGGGGCCAGTTGAACCACTTTTTATATATTAACATGCACAGCGAGATCTAGTTGTCATATCGAAAAATGCACAATGCCATGACAAAATATGCTCTTTTTGCTTTATTTTTAGATATGTAAAATTATGTTTCAAACATATTTTGCTGCCAAACGCATGCTTATAAAACAGCTCTACGCCCGTTTCAAATGACCCCGATGCGAGGGTCAATTGAACCAGCCCATGGGGTCAATTGCACCTATCCTTAACCCGCGCCCCACTGGGGTCTGTGTATAACACGCCCTACTGGGGGGGGGCTATTCATAGCCCCCCCTCCTAACTCCGAAACTACTGGGCCGATCGTCAAAATTCAAACGGCGTCTGATAGCCCCGGAAAAACTGTCGAGCGAAACCTAATTTCATTGACCTCGAGGTCACCGATGACGTCACAGGTCAGGTCAAAGTAAAAATTATTAGCACTTTGGCTTGTTCACATTTTGGGCTCTGGCCGCCGTCTTACAAGTCAGATCAGGCTCATTTTTGGTTTCCACACTCGTGAACAGATGCTCTAGATACCTTGAGGGTACCAAACTTGTACTTTGATTTTCAGGTCAGGGTCAGGTCATCACAGGTCACGAAAATATTATATCATGCGTCGGTCACGTGACACATGTTTTATGGTCCATTTAGGCCATAGATTTCGAATTTGATGTCGTCTGTGTCATTCAAGGTCATTTTGAGTCGAAATTAGCTTAGGTCAGGTCACTTTCAGGTCAAAAAAGGTCAAATTTTGAAGTTGAAATTTTTCAACAAAAAAGGTGTCTATTGGATGCAGTTTGAGCTCAGGAACACGATGGTGCCATTTATATTGGTGTACGATGCCAAATACGTACTGAAAAATTGATTTGAAAAATTAATAATTGTGAATTTTTTGCAATAATGCGTATAACTTGGCCATTTTTGAAGATATTTAGCTAAAACTTGCTAGAGTTAGTCATAATCATGCGTTCTGTCGCATATATTCCGGTTTTTTCGAAAAGTCCAAAACTTTTTGAAAAAAATATAAAAATATAAATTTTGAATATTATTATATAAAATTTTCGAAATTTTCAAAATTTTGAAAATCCGTGATAGCAGTTTGATAGCGCGGTCAATTCTGAGTTCTTTCATGCAAAGAAATTGGATCTAGCTTAAAAACTGAGCTCTTGGGAGCGATTGCCGTGGTTCAATGTTTTGCGTCGAAATCAGACGAACATGACGTCACTCTGACGTCATTTCCGGCCGACCCATAGTAGCTACGAAGTTCAAATTTTGACACAAGGTGTCAAATTGATGCAGCCGAAGGTACTGAAAGTTTGGCGTCGATTCGTCAAGCGGTTTGGAAGTTATTGCAGAAAAACGGGAGGGGGGGCTATAAATAGCCCCCCCCCCAGTGGGGCGCGGGTTAACAATGGGATGTTTTCCTCTTTAAGGCCACTTTCTTAAGGAGATATTTTGTCCGGTTTACTTTCCAAATGCTACATTCAATAGGTCGTTGGAAAGCTAAAAGTGCAAAGTTCCTCATAATAGGTGAGATAAAGTATATAGACTATGGTAAAATTGGC